ATGTAGATCACAAAGGAAAAATATGTGTAAAGTTAAGCTATGCATTTTAAATGGCACAAAAAAAAATCAAATCATCTTCATGACTACGTTCGAGAGGCTAGTTTTGTGTATTACGACGAATAAAACACATCAAAAAAGGGAGTTAACGCGGATCGAATTGTCGGAAGAGCTCTAACAATATTATGGGCCCACCAGCCCCTTTTACACACCGAAATGTAAACTCGAATGACACACAGCAGAGTGCTAAGCATTTTCTCTCCCTTTATCTATCTTTCAAATGTCTCTTTGCCTTCGAGTACCTTTCTCTGATATTATACTCAACAGTATCGGGGGACTTTACATTTCGACATGGTAATTTAGTCACGGAGAAGCTTCAGCTTTAACTCCTCTTTTTGCTTCCTACGATAAATTATATTTTATTCGGATTTGCAACACCAAGAACATATCCCTATCTTCCGAGTGTAACACACGTGTCTTTCAAACATAAAATGTATTCTAAACTATTAAACCATTGGAAGAAGAATTCAATTCGACATTTTCGTTATTTTTTTCCTTTTACAGTGAAGAATGTATAGTATGTGAAACGTTTTTTTGATAATGTTGTTGGAGAAAAACAATTAATTTGAAACCTGATTGTCTGTTAGAACCATGATAGATACTTTGGAAGTGTTTTTAATAGTTTTATCGATAAATATACATTAAAAAAGTACATTTTTTACACTTCCACCTTTTATTTAGCCTCCGCTTAATTCAAAAGCTGGGATGAAGTCTAAAGTTATGGGTAATGTAAATATTATTGAAATTATCAATTTTGAATAAAAAATAAGATACGGTTAAATAAATACCAGTTATGTGCAATAACAAATAATAATTTAAATACCAACTAAAAATTTTACTGAATAAATTAAAGAATCAAGTGATTATTTAATTCAATGAAAACTTCATTTAAGATTTTAAATAAAGATCTTATTTTCATTTTTAATTAAAATTCTAAATAAAGATTTTAATCAAACTTTTTGTGACGAATATCAAAAGCAGATAATATTATTTTTTTCTATTTAATTTATTATTACAATTTTACGTTATGCTTTTCATTTACTCTGTTGCATCATGAAACCATAATTTAGTGTAATTATGTCCGTAGATGGTCTTAAATATAACCAAGGACAGTTATAATAAAGATAACAAAAAAATGATATAGACTTCATTTAAAATAAACATTGTAAAATATCATGCTTAATTCAAAATCTACTTTCTACAACGAGAAACAGTGACTAATATAATATAATTTTATCGAACATCATCTTTTCTTTCATGTTTTAAACAAAAATTATCATTAATTGGTGATAAATCAATTTTTATTTACTTTACATTTGAACTAAGATGTCTTCTGATACAAATAAAACTGATAAAATGAACACTATTGTAGTCTAAACAAAAAAAAAAAAAAAATTGGGAAAATAGTGCAATAACAGTATTTTTTGTGACATAAAATCAAATCAGCATTGAAAAAAATAAATATTCGTTCAAGATATACAAAAAATTAATAAAAATTAAGGTAAAAATACAATTAAAAATAAGTAGAAATCTTATAACATCATTAAAATATTATTGAACACGTCTTATTACAAATATTCGTTATATAAATAATTTTGAAGGCAGACGAACGTTGAATAGACCAGCTGCAAATATTCGAGCACCTTATGAGTGTATCAAGCAGAAATAATCAAATTTATCATCTTTTTCAAGTTCAGTAATTTCCTTTGAAGTCATTTTTTCCAAGAAATAATTAGACTACGTATCTTTAACAACGTCGTTACTATTTACCATTAAATAAAATCATTAAAATTAGAACAGGAGATAAGGATTTTTAGATAGTAAATATTTAAGTTAACTTCTTTTTTTATAAATTTACTTCATAAACTTCATGTCTGAGTCCTGATACTTCTATCACATTTTTTAGACTTGAATTTCTCAACTTCTATTAAGTTAAATCAATCCAATTATCTTCTTTGATTTTATTCTGTATCAAATAATTTTCAGAATAAAGTCCCAGTTTTAATCTTTGATTGCAGTGATTTTGCACTCTTATCATTTAGGTATACAGTGGTAAAAAATGATTGATAAATGCAATTCAATCATGGATGTGGACTAATGTTAGTTTATATTGAAACTGTCACGAACGAAATTTTGAAAGACAACGAATATTAGTCATTAGCCCAAGAAAAGTATCATGTCAAGGTAACTTGCTCGCAAGCAGCATCAACGCACCTCACGCATGTCAATGTCAATTAAACGACTTGATTCATCACGACCATCTCTTCAAACCTGAGAATCTCCACCTGTCAAAAATGTGATCAAATACTCATTAACATTAAATCATATCACCTCCCAATGGTCATCAAGTTGACCCTTTATAACCTGGACTTTGGACCCAAAACAGTCGGTTTTTTCAATCAAGGAAACTGCTGACACTAGGGTTGCTGCTGCTCTTGTTTTGATAATTAAGAGTAGTTTTTTATTCAAGTTTATTAAATAGTGACCATCAAGATTGTTCGTTACATTTTCTCTAACAAATACTGGTTAGCAGAAATTGTACTTATTTATTAATTATACTTTAATGATCAATTTATACTTTATTCAATCAATGTAATAATCATACAAATGACTTACAAAACTGAATAATCAATCTTTTTCAAATTAAATCATTTCCTTAACTAATAATCCAGAATCAACGCTAACCCAGGTCTCACGAGATCATAAGAGTAAATCCTAACACGTCCCCTCACCACCTGACAGGTGAGGAACTCAGTAGGCTCGTGTCAATTGCTACTAATGTTTAATTACCTATCAGCCATGTACTCTTCATGATCCACCACAACGACAATTAGTTATCTTTTCTCACATTTAGAGTAGAGAAACGTTCTGAAGACAGTATATCATTCATACTTAGTCAATCAGATAGTTATCAATGATCAAGTGATAAAAATTGTTGTTGGACAATGTTATGATTATTGTAAAACCCTCCACCTCAAAATAAAATTCAATCTATTTTATAACAAACTATCACTGCCTAAGTGCACATATTATATTACTATAATTTTCTCATAGACATAGGATATTTTACTTTAAGGATTGTGTTATAATTCGTCAGCAAAACGTTGAGAGCTACAGGCTAATTCAACGAGCAATTTAGTGTTAAGCGGTAGATTAAATCTAGACTTAAAAGAAGCAACATCACTGTATTTTTACTTCTACAAATATTCAATAAATCACTCAAATAAACCCAACTTCACAGTGTCGAAAATTGATTAATTACAACAAATAAAAATAAATTAAACTATTACGCTGAAGGTAATTACTAAATTTACCATCAGGCGTATCAAAACCATCCATATGAGTGTTTAATATTTAGAAAAGAGAAAGATTACCAGACTTGATGGGATCCAGCAAAACTCTGTCCAGAAAGTGTTGATGGGTGATGTCACAGAGTTTGCAGATCTTTTTCAGAGTTATATATCAAAAAGACAAATAGTGAACCCAAAGATATCTAAAATAAAAATCTATTACATTTATGTATCTCGTATATTCAATGTGCTGCAGAATTCATGTAAATAAAGCTATTCAGACTAGACGCATGTAGTTATAAATATTATACAATAACACCATTTCGTATCCACAATATGAATCGTAACTAACTCAACAGCCAATTGATGATTCTTAACATGTGCGTATTCAGAAAAAGAGAATAAAAATAAATTGACACGAGTCACAAGCGTAACCGAATTTTCTATTCTGACATCAGCAATAAAGCATGGTAACCATTGTCATTTGTTGTTGATTGTCAGTTGTTTTGAATCACAAATAAAATTTAATTTTGATCTCCAACTCTATTATCAAATCACTTCAAATTTTATGAGTAAAATCATCGAATAAATTGAAACAAAGTAGGCATTATTTTGTAATTGTTAAGTCTCAATAACATCAGATTGTATGATTCTATCATTGTTGTCCAATCAACTCTTATCTGTAACAAGTTAACTAGAATAAAATAAAATATTTTGACTCATGATTATTAACAAAGATTGATTTATTCTGTCAACTGAATCATCACAAAGATGGTACAAATTCGTCAAATTATATAGGATCCAGTTTTTCTTCCAAGTTTTCGTTGCTTTATATTAATTAATTAATTTATTTAAACATTTACATAGGCCCAACAGCAAAGCCAGACTAGGACCAAAGATAGGTAACAATAATATAGGCAGGAGAAGAAATAATACAGCAATAGTTTAAACAAAAGCACGTTGTGATCAGTCATCCATGTAGAAAAGTGCACTTATAGCACTTATTACCAAAGACTTTATCGATGTTGTATTTCATTAGCAAGCAGTCGAGAAAGACATATAGATTATATGACAATTGCTCCCAAATTACGTGGTGTAGTTAGGGTTGCCATCTGTCTGGGTTTTCCAGGACATGGCCTCTTTTTGAAATGGGAGAGCTGTCTGAGGTACTTTTTTCGAAATGTCCGGGTTTTTTATTTTAATTTTTTTTTATAAAAAAGTTTAAAAATTATGTCAAAAACGGTTCTATATATATATTTCTATTGTTTTACACGTATCTGAATGGAATCAATGTTTAATTTTAATAATTGCGATTTGTTCTAAAAAAAGCTTGTTACGTTTCAATACAATAGATATTTATATAAATTTTAAAACGTTTAATAAAAAATTTTAAGTTTAATCTGTCCTGGTTTTTGATGAGATGAGTCCTTGTTTTGTTCGGGTTTTTTACCGCTTCAGTCCAGGGTTTCAAAAATTTGAGATGGTAACCCTAGGTGTAGTTCAATCTACTCTGATAGACAAGAGTTGAATTTTGAGATCAATTTAAGCTCAATATGCATAATATGGAACATAATTAACTCATATCTATTAGGATACTAGCAAAAGTTCATTAAATATTATTAAAGAAATTAAACGCAAAGTGTTTTGAACAAATTATATAATATCATTCAATTTATACATTTGTTGTACAGACATACGATGAACACTTAAAATGGTGGACAAATTTTTTTTAGAAATAATTAAATTATCATTACTGGAATATACAGAAGGAACATGATGTCTATAAATTTTAAATTGCTCAGCACAAATACCAGTAAAAAAAACATCTTCCAATTTAAAGAAATATAAGTTATTACATTTTATAAGTAGCTTACGCATCACTTTAGGACTCAAAACATAGAATGACCCACTGATGAAATTAGGATATTTCCTATATGGATACTCTTCTATAGAGACGTAATATTTCGAGTCAGCTGTTCTTTTAGGCTCTTTGTCAACAAACACGTGACCATAAATATGCTCATTATTGATGTTGAAATAAGATTTAGCTTTTTCAAATGTATTTACATTAACAAATACATCATCATCTCCTTTTACCAACAAAAAATTTCTATCTATTTCCAAGCAAATTTGGTTAACCCATTCGAATACTGTACGTACTTTTAAAGTCAAATTGTAATAAGTGTCTACAAAATTCAAAGGAATCATGTCTTGATATTTTGCAGATTCATTATTCAGTTGATCACGAATTGTTTCATTTTCCATCAAGTAAGAATAAAAAAATAATACATTCTGATTAACTCCCCACGTATCACGAATACTTTGACGACGTAAAAAGTTTGTAGATTTTGAAAGAATTGCAAACAGTACATTATCAATAGCTTCTTTGGAAATATTTTTCTTTTCACAGCCAGTAGTAACAATGTTATATGAAGAATACTCCTCTTCAGAATATAACATCGATGGATAAGTTTTTAAATGTCTAGCTGACTTTAAAATGAGTCCGTCATAATATTTATCCATGATTAAATAATTACGATCAGTATTATTATTATAACTCGATGACTTCAACATTGCAATCTCAGAAATAATAGTTGATTTAATAAAGCTATACTGAAGTGAGGAATATATAGTATGCCCAACTAATAATACAATAAATAGTAAATAAATAAACATCACAAAATATTTCCAATTCTTTTTCGATTTAAAAGTTCGTCTTGAAGATGGTGAAAATGTGTTTGTTTTCTCCAAATCAAAATCAATTGATTCTGTATGTCGTATCGTTTGATTCCGTGTCATTTTATTGCTGGTTCACTACGAAATTATTTGTATGAATTAAATGATTCATTTTTATTGTATTTGTGAACCCTATTAAGAATTTGTGTATCAAAAAAACAAAAACAGATAATTAATTAATTTTCAATCACACTGATTTTAATAATATTTCTCATAATTGATTCTTTGATGCAGTAAAATAAACGATTGAATTTTATTAATTATCATTTTTGGCAGTTGACACAGAAATGCTTGACAGAATTCATGGCAGGTCAATGCTTTAATTCTCTCTTAATAAATCTTACAATAATTTTTTGTTTTTTGCATAATTGAAATTTTTCATTGATAAGATAATTAAAAAATTAAAGAAATTTGGTGATAAAAATTTTCTTGAAAATTTTTTTCTTTTTCTTTTTTTATATTAAATGAAGTTTAGTGAGTTAGAATTAGAACATAAATCTTATACAAATCAAAAACAACTTTGATTTTTAAGACTCACTACTTCAGTTTTCACTTGAAATTATTCCAACATATAATATAAACTTTCTGTACAAAAATAAGCTGGCACTTCACTACACAGGATGTAGAAGTATACTGGTGGCTACGAATCATAGTTTGCCTTGCCAATAATTTTTTTGTATTCTTACGTCTGAACACGAGACGAATGACGTAAGTTTCCATTCATGCATCATATAACGGTGATTCTTCAAAATAAAGTAACTATTTGAATGCAGAAGTATAAAATGAAGGAATTTATTTATTAATTTTATATAACAATGAAGAGAAATATTAGTTATTTAAAAAGAATCATGAATAAAAGTAAATTCGATTGTGAATCGATGTTGTAAGCTAATCCTTATTCTTTTGATAACTTTAATTAATTAAAACTATTGTTTTACTTTTTCATTCACTGTGGATATTCTATGAACATGATTAATTCAAGTTTCAAATGATTTACGAATAATCTACTAATCATTATTAAATATGTACTCCATTTTCAAAGTGATTACTCATTTTCATTTCGATAATTGGAAGCTGCATATGTAGAGGATTTTCGTTTTTATAATCTGAATGGAAAAACTCTCATCATATTATTTAATTAACTTTTTATGGTTTGATCAAAAAAAACACTTCATATTGCATAATACTTGTTTTTTTATTGTAAAGCAAGGAATAATAAACTATTCATAAAAAATTTAATATATCTTGAATTTTTTTATTAAAATATTCCATTTAACTTCATTAAAGTTATTAATATTTTTTTTTAATTTTAGTCATCAATATTTTTTAATTAAAATACTTAAAATTTTAAATATACACCCAGATATTCTTATTACATTCTTAGTACATGAATCTATTTTTTGAATTAATAAAAAATTAAAAAATCTGAAAATAATAAGTCATAAAAAATACCTAACTAGATCATTAAGTGATTCACTTATTAACAAGATCATAAGAGATAGATGTTATTGATAAATAATTGAACATTTATTAATTGTTATTAATTGGCCTTCTCTTTGAGTCAGGACACAATCACTTTCTCCTCTTCTCGAGAGCAAAGACCTCGTAGAGAATAAGATGGAATATTGAGCAAATATAGATAGAGATTTTGGATGCAAGATAAACCATTCAGGTGCTTCCCAATACTGAGCAGATGGTCGAGAATGAGACAAGAAGGTTCTTTTAAAGAATTACTTCTTGCAGTAAACTTTCCTTACCTTTTATTTGAAACAAAGATAGGCTAGGCAATAGAAGATTGCAGTTTACTGTCTTCTGACAGGTGAAAATTTTATAGTCACTATGTTGCAGACAAATGGGGTCTTCAGGTCCTTTGTAGAAATGACTCTTTTTATAGTCAGTAGTATGTCAGAAAGTATTACTTGTTTTTCGGTCTTGTCAGTAGCTTAATGTTCATTAAATTTTGTTTTACATAAATATTCAAATTTTAACAATCTTAAGATCAGAACTGTTCTTGCTATTCATTCACTGTAAATCACAATGTTTTATTTATATATACTTAAAAGTGTTTTAAAATGACGTCACCCATTTAATTAATACAGCAGTCACTTTTTAATTATTTTCAAGTGCTTCTAAAGTTCCTGTAATGTTAATCAAATAGGTGATGTCATATTGAAATGAAACTTTCTCAAACTTATCAATTAAATAAATAACATTTTAGTGTATTTTATAATTATACTAAATATATTTGAAAATCATTCTCAATTGTCACTGACTTTCACTGCAAATCGTAGTGTTTTATTTTAATGCACTTGGAAGTGTCTAAAAAGTTACTACAATGTTAATCAAATGGGTGTCGTCATTTTAAAACACTTTAAGTGCATTAAAATAAAACACTACAATTTGCAGCGTGTATTATACAATAAAACTACACTGGAAAAAAAATGCATACAAGAAATGATTCATTTGAACATTAACATTGAAATTTTAAATAACTACAATTAAATTTCTTTTTTTAATTATAATTATATATAATATTCATATATAAATATTTTAATAAAATCATTTTATATAATCCAACACTGCAAATCTCAAATTTTGAAAGTGTTTTAATTTAAAATACTTCCAAAATTTGAGATTTGCAGTGAATAAATAAAATGTCATTTGTTTTCAAACTTATCATCAAATTTAATGAAATTTTTTTCTCGGTGTAGTACGTACATGTAACAATTATTCTGACTTTAATTGAATCATCCACTGAAATTATAAAAATCAAACTTAAATATAAAATCATCACACTCGATATCTACAGAAGTATTTTCTCTCTCCTATATTTTTGATCAATGAATTATATAATTTTTTTTCATAACAAAGTGTCTAAAATATCCTGTTGTAGTAAGAAGACTACAATAATTCAAATTAAGTATTGATTTAATGAAGGCAAAAATGTATGGGGTCTAAAAATTTTTGTAAGCTGTGGACAGTGATCCTGAGAGCAAACGAATCGACTGATGTTCGCAGATGTAGTTCGACATTGGTTCATGTCATGTTTGTACAAGCACGATAATTTTCTTTCACCCTCTTACTCAGTTATTTTTGTCAACCGCCTCTCCTTCCTGAATCCTATAAATGACCTATCATATTCTATCTAATCCGTCAATATATGAGTCTAATTTGTAACTTGTAATCTCTTCGCAAATGCTCCCAATGTATCTCTGAATAATGTCACCAGCATAAGGCGATCATATTTCTTTCAACTGTTATAGAATTTGATGTACAAAATATCGTTACATATATCATCTAAGAAGGGTAAATTCAATAAAATATATAACAGATAGCATTGTATTATAGTTGATATTGTTCTAAACTTTACAATCTTCACTTCCCCTGAGAAGTCACCTCGTTTAAATTACATTTCTCTTCATGGTAAATGTAGAACCATTTGTTATCTAACCACTTCCGGACTGTCCGTAACACGTTATAATTCAGAGAATTAAATTTATTCAATTTATCACCTGGGTCGTATTTGATGCCTGACCTACTTGAAATCGAGCCAACTTCAACCAACGCATTAAATAATAATAAACTTAATATTAATTCATCTTGTTAATATAATTACATTAATAGACTGTCGATTTTGTTGAATTAAAATATCATATCTAATTATTTTTTTAATATCTTATAACTTTCATAATGTTAATAAATAACTATCATATTGAACATGGAGAAGAACAGCTCTTAAATTAAAATAAATTTCCGAATTATTTCGAAATTTAAGAAAATAGGAAATAGAATCAAGAAATTGTTAATAAATATCAAAAAATATTATGTATTTTAATTTTCAACTGTATTTAAGGAGTAGTCTGAAGGTAGTCTTTACCTTAGAAAATATGTCAGGAAATTGACTAAGAGTTGTATTGTAGGTAATTTTATACTATCGCGGTCCCCTCGTTTTTTGGCTCTAGAAAATCGAAAAATCAACATTTTGGAGTGATTTTTTTTCTAAAATCTTCGTTCTTACGGCGGATTTACGAAAAAAATTATGGAAATGGGAAAAAATGAAAATTTATATTGGTTTCAGGGCTTCAAATGTTCATGTAAATACACTCATTTACGTATAATTGTTGATAACTTTTTTACAAGTTACCGTATGAAGTTGTTATATTTTTTTCATAATCTACACAAAAAAACAAATTAAAAATAATTTATACAAAAATGTTGATTTTTCATATTTTTACAATTTAAAATAATAACAACTTAAAATTGACCTTTTCTTACATATCATCGTTTGTGCATTTTTTATTAAGTAATCATCGAAATAATGTGAACAAAAACATTCTTAAAATTACTTATCAAGTATACAATATTGAAAGTAAACTTAAAAAAGTTAAAAATTATCACTATCAGAAAAAATGGTATCCTACTGACGTTTACTGTTAAAGAGAATTGAAACAGGGGGGGGAGGTGTTTAAAAAGCAGATCAAATGTGAAAATTTGTTATGAATTTTTAACAGCCCCCCCTCCTCATCACAATTCTCTCTAATTTCATGTGAACAATTAAAAATAAATAAAAATACTGAAATGTGTAGTTTTATTTGTTTTAAAAATTGCAATAATAAAAAATCTTCAAGTGATATATTTCCTATATTTTTTTTTATAAATCCGCCGTAAAAACAAAGATTTTAAAAAAAAAATCATTGAAATCGGATGATTTTTCGATTTTGTAGAGCCAAAAAACGAGGGGACCGCGAAAGTGTAATATTACCAAAAATTAATCTCAGTCGAAATACCTTAAGAGGAAGTTGAACCTTTCCTTGATTACCGACAACTAGAAAAAACCTATATATCGACTCTGATCCCACCACGCGGAAAAAATTGATAGGGAAAGGGCAATCACAATTACAAGCCGCAAAGAAGAAATAATTAAGACGAATTCCTTGGTAGAACGCCTAGCAATTAGGATCAAAAACTTCTATCTGGACAGTCCAGTTTAGAGTCATTAGAAAAGTTAGTGTTAATCAGAATCAAACATACATACAGGTAAGCAGCAAGAAAAGACCACATAAGCCAAAAGCTGAAAGTAACGAGTCATGTAAGTTTTATTTAATTATTGTAATGTAGTAATGGGTGGTAAGATCCATTTAGTTTGGTTGAAATATGAAACTATAATTGTAACAGCATATGAGAGAGAAAAAAAAATTGTAGTAGAAAGAAATATTAAAAATTGATTTAATATATTCCTAATTGACACCTGAACAGGGACCTTTTTAAGGTTCCTTGGTGCTTTTTGGCATTGATCTTTTGTGCTCACATCAGACCACGAAAAATTTATTTTTCTAAGTAAAAATTTATCCGAGTCATCTCGTAGAACTAAATATCAAGTCTCTTTTCTCTTTAGCTCTTATAAAATTCTCGAAAGTTCGTTATAATTTGAACTTATAAATTTATTTTCGAGAATTAACAAAATATTTACTCGACTTTGTTATTCAAAATCACGTTTGAATAAAAATCATAAATACTTGCGATAAAATCGTGATGAATACCCTATTTTTTTGTATTTGTTTATATTTCTTATGACTTATCTGTATGAATTATGTAGATGACGATTGTGATACGGTTAACTCAGACTACTTTTCTCCATTGTCAGTGACTTCCAATAATAACATTTCTTAATGTTCAGGTTCTTCAATGTTCTCTTCTTGCAAGAAACCAATAAGTAAAATAACGCAAATATTTCTTTTATGGATTCTAATAAGAAACCAAATTAATCTAACACAAATCACTTTATGAACTCAATTCTTATTCTATTCCTTCTTTTCTCTCATAGTACTCTTCTCAAATCTCCTTAACTGATTCATACCTAGTTATTATTTCTTTCTATCATTATGAATTTCTGTTAGATTTAAGAATAGATTTAAACATTCTAATTAACAAAATTTTATGCTAAAGTTAGCATAATTTTTTGTTTGGCAGATTAAACAATTCGAGTACACCTTATAAATTCAAACAATCATCATGTCTTGGTTCCACACTAGAGAAGTTCACTTTCCGCAAGATTATAATGGCTTCATTCATATCTATACTGATGGTGCTTGCCGTGATAACGGAAGGGACAACGCTACAGCGGGTATTGGAGTCTTCATTGATGATGATCATCCTGAAAATGTCTCCAAAGCTATACCGACAAGTCGTCAAACAAACATCGCTGCAGAGATGCTAGCTGTTCTAGAAGCTGTGTCGATTGTTCGTAAATACAATTTATGTAATGTCATAATTTACACGGACTCTGAATTTATCGTAAAAGGAGTGACTGAATGGATGCCTGACTGGATCAGGCGAGGCTGGCGCACATCATCTGGTCATCGTCCTCAGTACGTAAATGAATTCAAAACTTTGGACGCTGCAATGAAAAAATGGTACATAAGACTTGAATATGTACAAGGGCATTCTGGAATCTATGGAAATGAAATGGCAGATCGATTAGCCAGAAAAGCAGTGCAGTAATTCATCTGGTGACAAATACACCTAACTTTACTACAGAACATATAATCATTGAATATTTTTTTTGACATTTATAATATTTCTTTTAAAAATTTTCTATCAAGCAACAAAATTTTGTTAATTATAATGAATTATATTCATTATTTTTTTTTTTTTAAAGAACTTGATAATCGCATATCTTAACAAATATATAAATCAATTACATGTTTTTGTAATGAACATTTATCGGTGCTGGAATAAAAATCAGTAAAAAAGATTCAATAGTGACAATCATTGTAAAAATATTCGCTTCTCTTTTTGCAGGGTAAGTGTTCCTTCCGTAGTGTACAATTGGTGATGCATACCTGGGTCATTTCTCTCTTCCATGATTCATTTTCTCTATTTTGTTATCATCTTTATGTCAAGGAAGCTTCCTGATAAAGAGTTATCTTGGTAAAATCTTGATCTTGGAGAAGATTTATTCATCAATCTGATGATTTGACTTCAATAAATTCCTATCTTTATTATGATTATGACTTGACCGAAAATATATTATTACATTAAACTATCTATATTCAGTTTGACTTAAAGAAAGTTGATCAACATTCAATGTGCAGTGAGTAAAATGTTCTGTTAGTCATAAAGGTATAATGAAAAAATTTTAGAAAATATTTATCTTCGAAAAGGCTTTGATGAGTAAAATTATTGTTGTTGTACAATTTATTTATTTACTTAAATATAAAAATCTAGGTGGTACCATTCGCAACACTATCAGTATTTTTTGTAAATAAAAAAGTATGAAGAGTAAAAAGTAAAAATGAGTAAAAAATAAAAAAAATTTGTTATTTCAATACTAAATTTCTTTGAAAGGTTATTCTGGCTTTTAAGAAATTTTTATATTGCATACAACTACAATCAAATCTTTAATGCCCACAATTAAGACCATCAGAACTCCTATTTAGCACACTCTCTATCCCCACTTTTATATACTACACCTTACCCTTTTTGCCCGTAATCTCACAGGAGTGCGTAATAATAAAATTTTATACATCAGAAAATCGTATGATAATGAAGACTCAACTATAGTTACATTATAACCAATTAGTGTTGATACTTACTGATATTTCATAACTCAGCTGAGATTTTTACTTTGAATAATTTTTAATTTGAAGTAAGTTCAGATTCTATGATAATTTAATTTTCAATTAAAAAGGAATGACAATCAGTGTTGATTCAAAATCAGAATTTAGACGAATCAATTGTAAATACCTTACTGATCTTGAGAAATTCAATCTTCTTTTTTTAAGATTGTAAAACAAAATATGATACACTGATACAAGAGTTTTGTAATAAATAAAAAATATATGAGTTATTAAAAAATGTAGTACAAGAAATCAGCGTAAGATAAAAGTTTTGATTGATTTGATAGGTTAAGTGACGCTGTGAAACTATTGGAAAAATTAGGTTACCTGAGAGAAACATCTCTTTTCTGAGACAAATACTTTTTTTATTGTTATATAATAATTCTTTTAGTCTATTACACTATTATTTTATTGTAATACAACATCTCTAATAGAGTAGAAAAAAAATTTTGGATTTAAATCCAAAGTTTAAAGTAAAGTTTTCTTTTATGAATTTGAAATGATTCAAACACTTGGTTTATTAAAACCTACAAAATTAATGATACATTTGGAAGATTACATATATAATTTAAGGAATGTTGATTTATCTAGTGATCAAAAATCAACAAAAGGTCTTTTCTGATTGGAGTAATAATTTATGCTTCAGTATAAATATGATAAATAATTTCCAAAAAGATGAATAGCATCTTTTAAATGATAGAATGAATTTCGCAAAATGATGAGAAAGATAAAAAATTCATTTTCAACAACTTTCTGTATCTGTTTTATAGTTCATGACCAACATTTGTATATCTTTAATATTGGAGTAACTTGAAAATGTATCGATACAATGAGACAATCAATAGTAAATGGCTAAACTCAAATATTTTATGGTCAAATTTGTGAATCTATATTGTAACTTTGAAACCAACCAGTAATTAATTATGTGAAGATCAGTATTCTATTGATCTGGTCACTAATTACACTAATAGAAGTATTTATCAATTATGAAGAAACACATTTGTTTACAATGATATTCTTAATTTGATGAATATCAATAAACATGTCTCAATAATTACTAAATCAGTATGATAATACACTGCTAAATTCAGTAAATAACATCAACTTCTTTGGATGTATGTCATTAATTAATACACTAGAGGTTATACACTTGAGTTTGGGAGTAAATTTTGAATTTCAAGAATATGAAAACATAAAAAGGATTAGAATTATTCTTCGTAGAGTCTTGATAATCTTTCATCTTATCTTATTTCTTCTTGATAAAAAAATTCATTTGCCTAGTTATAATTTTCTTTACTATCATCCATTGCTCATAGATTAAGAATAAATTTAAGCTTTTACAGTTACAAAACTTTGTACTAAGGTGATTGTTTCTTTGGCAGATCGTGGATTAAACTATTTGATCGCGAATTTTACGACTGAACACAGAAGTAATATGCCTTATTACGCAGTAGCTAGAGGATGGAATGTCGGTATATATACCTCTTGGGACCAATGTCAACCGATGGTGAATCACTATTCAGGAGCATTGTATAAACGATTTAGCAGCAGGTCTAGCGCCTGGAACTTCTTGGAGAGTCATCTGCCACAACGTGAGCTTTATATGATAACAGAAAGGGAAAGGCTCTTCTCTCGAGGTACTGATGACTGCGTCAGTATCTACACTGATGGTGCATGTCGCAGAAATGGACGACAAGGAGCACAAGCAGGCATTGGAGTTTTCTTTGCTGACAATCATCCTAACAACGTCTCTCGAGTTGCTGAAAATCGGCGAACTAATATCGGTGCTGAGATGGAAGCTGTTCTAGAAGCCGTGTCGATTATTGGTTCCTATCAGTTGGATCATGTTGTTATCTACACGGACTGTCAGTTCATCGTAAAAGGAATGAATAATTGGATATGGGGATGGATGAAACGTGGATGGCAAAATATAAATAACCAGCCCGTTGCCTATAAACAAGAATTTCAATTTCTCAACGCCAAAAGACGTCGTTGGCGTATACAATTTGAACATGTACGAGGACATTCTGGTATCTATGGTAATGAACAGGCTGATAAATTAGCCAGAAGAGCGTTGCCTTAATTCATCAGTTAAAAATACTCATGACTTTTTTTTTACTTGAAGAACTTGACACTTAAAAACCAAATATTCTAAAGAATATTTAAAAAATTTTATAAATATTTTTGTTAAACAAATAAAGCAATACTTATTATAAGTATTTAAATAAAAGTTTATCTATTAAAAATTTTTATCGTAGTGGCTATTATTAAAAATACCTATTCTATTATTCAAAGTAAGTTAATTTTGCAGGAATTTAATTCTAGTAACTTTTGGTTAATTTATATTTAAAATAATATTGACATTTCATTTATTAAAATTGAATTAAAATACTCTCATCTGATATTATTTAAATTGAATATAAAATAAAACACTATGAATTTTCACAGCAAATTGGAGTAAATTTTACAATCAAACATAACAAATGTCATTGTTTACTTCCTATGTAAACAAATTTTGTTTTCAATTAATTTAAAAAGACTACTATTATCATAATCTTAAATATTTATTAACAATTTAGGTGTAGAATTTAAACAAAAAAATGTTGATCACGTTTTTCTGTAAGATAAGAGCAAATTATAGAATTTATCCCTATTTTACGTCAGATTATATCGTCGTTTCCAAAAAAGCGCAAAAATCGTGCATTAACATAAGCGGATTAGTTGAGAAGGGAGTTACTGTATCGCTCTGTCATTTAGACCGAAACCAACAGAGACTCGTGGCGAAATTCGCAGCTGGTTACCTATTCCATCGAATGCTTATTTCTTGTTCACTTCGTAACAACAGGATAAATCCCGTAAATACCTAAATTATCGAGGGTAAACAGTATATTTTTCAAAGACAGGGAAAAGATGAACGTGAGATTTCAGGGGGAAACGTGATAACGGACAAGTTTAATAAGCTCTAAGGGCTTCTACAATCTGCACATGACGTAAATTCGATTGATATTTCATTTGCGAATTTGATCCCTTACAGCTGTAATTGGCTCTATAAGAGTATGAATCATCAATTTTACTCAATAAGTAATAATAATCAATGAGTTAAAATCGTTTTTTTTTTTTAATTCGTTAGTTTGAAAAATTTTATTAAAAATTTTTATATTTTAAAAATTATTCAGTAACTAACTATGTTCATTTATTCATAAATTTGATTTCATAAAATGTCCAATAGCATAAAAGTAAATAACGAGACTACTTGAGTGTGAAAAATATAACAGAAAAATAATACAGCAAAAAATGTTACAAATTTATAAAACAATAATTACAATTAAACGTAAAAAGTATCATAAACTCATAGATATCCCTCAAAAAAAATTTATAATTAAACACTGAATACTTTTTCACTATTATTATTACATTTGTACCTAAATATGTTGAAAAGTTTCTTATTTACGAATTTAATTACAGTAATTATCAGTAACTTAACAATTATAAAAACCATTTTTACAAATTTCTTAATTAACGAAATTCTACAATTTAATGTTACAAAAAGGAATGCTCATTTTTAACCTTTACCAGTGTTATAGTCTTTTAATTAATAGAGACGATTTCAGATTATCATTTAATTGTTTTAATTTCAGTTTGTTTTATTTAGAAGTTTAAATAAAAATATAACTTTAAAGTATTAAAATATAATAAAATAATCCTTAAATAATCCAGTTGCGAATTATTTATTGGTTTTCATTTTTAACTATTTAATTACAATAACATAATCAAACTGAACGGAGTGACCTTTTTCATGTTCTGGTGTCAATTGATAGCATTAAATTTATCCGTTTGTTGCTATAACTATCAACAAAGCATTTTTTAATTGATTGGTTAACTGTTTAACAGGATAAAATAATTAAATTCATTCGTCTTTCATACATCTTAGTACTCTAACAGAAATATTCTCTTGCAAAAATCTATTAAACTGACTTAAAATAATAAGATACATAAGTAAACAATTTTTTATTTCAAGATGAGTTTCAAGCTACTATGAAGCGATATTAATACACTTATTAAATCCGATTGCAAATGTAACTTTGCATTATCAGTGTTCAATCAATAGTTTTCATCGTTATGTTAATTTTATTGTTAATTAATTTTTGTCTTATTATTTTCTAATTGTTGATATTTATTTTGCTCAGTTTTTATCAAATCCTTTGTTAATCATTTTGGTACTTATTTTTACAACAATGAAATTTTTTTCGTAACTTGGAACAACAAAACTGTTTATCATTTCTAAATCTAAACAATATTATGTTTGAACTTATATTTCTAACAGCATTTCCAATAGCAACATTAGAAAATTAATTTCAAACTTAATGTAAATTGAGTTATATTAATCAACTATTATTCTGCTGAATATCTAGTCAATCGATAAAAATCTCTTTATCGGTTAGTAAGTTTAAAACTTATCATAGAATCCAGTAAAGATTGTATTAATTGAATTTAGAGAAGAATAAAGTCTCAAGTAATCACAACTGATACTTAGACTTTAATCAAATGACTATGTAAATTATTGATATTTCCAGGTAAACTATTATTCGATTATTATTAACACAGTTGAATTCGAATAAACACTTTAGTGTAAGATAAATCAACTTAAATCACAAAAGACTATTACATAATCCAATTAGTCTCATCATTAAAATAAATAAAAAAAGGCTTAAAGTTGTTATAGAAATTTATAGTAGAAATTCAAATTTTGACATGATACTGGTCGTAAATAAAAATAATTTAAAAATAAACGAGTGAGTTTTAAATAGTACAATTAAATATTATACATATCCTGAATGATAGGTATCAACCTACATATAAACCCACGAAATGGTACTAACAATGTATACACGTGTGTATCTTTCTGAATATTTTTAGTAAAAATATTTATTTTGTTTTCCTTATATAAACAAGTTATATCCTGTTTTGGATATATAAACCAAAAAAATGTTCAAAAAATATTCAATTAATATCCTTTTTAATTACAAAAGCTTCTTATTAATGAACACAGATAAATCATAGTCCACTCAACAGACAATTAGATATTTTCTCATTTTCACCCATATTCTTCATACTTGTTAAGAATTTACGTTTTTTAATTATTAATTTTATTATTTATACATAAATATAACTGTCACTTTTAATTAGTAAAGAAAAATAACAAGACTATGATGATTATTTGTGGCATTAGAGTGGTTACTCCAATTAAAAAGAATAAATACGCTTGAAATCTATAGTGTGGTTATCATTCGAGAATATTTGAATCGAAATTTACTACTTTATCTAATCAGTCGGTATAATAGTATTAGAGTTGATTAGAAATTTTTTAACTACAGTAGATAATATAGATTACTATACAACCAATGGCTAAAAAAATAATTTATTTGCATTGCACATACATACCATAGGAGTCCGTGGTGGCGCTGCAGTTGTACACGACAATCGATTCTCGAATTATCGATAGATAAAATTTTGCCAACTTCAAGTAATTGAAACAATCAGATGCACGTCAAGTGACGATTTATCCGCCATTAAAGAGAACGTTTTACTAAAGTGGTACAGACGTTTAAGGAAGTGTGCTTTTTAATAATAAAGTTAATGTTAAATAATAAAATATTCATAATCTCACATCACAAATACTATCTACTGGATTTCCGTATTAAGGATTACGTGTAGCTTCGTTGTGGAAAATTACTAATGTAAAGTTTGGTGAACTACCATATAGCCTTCACGAATCATAAAAGGCTTTCATTGAAAAACCAGTTTTAGTTTTTTTATTTTATTGTTTAGACCTGCAAAATGCCGAGAAAATCTGAAAAATTATTAAAACTGAAAATAGGAAAACCCGGTCGGAGTCATTTTTACAGTAAGTTTTCAAACTCTAAATTCATTTTTGGTACTTTCTATTATCTACGCGTAAATTTACGCAATTCGAGAGATTGTAAGAGTTTCTACTATTACAAATTACGTTGTATTTTATGATAAGTTTCTCTTTAGTAAAGTAATTTACTATTGTTTATAAAAATATTCACAATAAACTTAACAATGATATTAATCAATAATGAATACATATCTAATACTACAACATTACATATTGCATGATCATAAAAATTAAACGTATATAAATTACATGTTAAAAAATTTTATTATAACTATTTTTGAGTAAAAAAAATCAATATATTTTCATTGTATAAAAGTTGAGATTCTTATATCCATGTTAATTTTGATTTTTTAGATCATGATGATCGTGTACCATCAGCAGAAGATGCGAAATTTCCTTCAAGGTCACGAGGATTCAGTAAATCCCATGAATTTAAGCCTGCATATAATCGAATAAAAAAACTCACAATGGCCATTGAAGAACATTTGGATGGTGACGTTGTAATGGGCTCGCATAAAAGCAGTAATGGAAGACGAGTAGCTTTTCGAAATAGACAAGGTATTATAAAATCTGGGTCCAGTAGTGATCGTCAGTCTACATCATCAGGAAGTAGACCTAGACCATTGATGACTGGAGATACTAGTTGGTATAAAATAACCGTAAGTATAAAGTAAAATATAACTTCAAATTTTTTATCAAATTCTAACCATGCAGATTTATATTTTATTCAAACTTAAAAATTTTCAACTATTATTACTTTTTTATCAATTGTTTACAGATACCTTTTGGTAGCAAGTACGATAAGGATTACATAATCAATAACCTTTTGAGTAGTATAGCTCCCAACACATTTATACCTATCATGGTAAGTAAATAATAATAATCTATTAATAAATACTGAATATAGATAATACATTTGCTGAACAAAAAAAATTTAACTTAATGTATTTCTTTTAGTATCGAGTGATAGGACAAGAAGCAGTTTTTTACGTAGACGAGCAAAAAACAGCAAACCAATTGCTTAGCTGTGATCGGAAAATAACAACCCCAGATAACTTTAAAATATCAGTCAGAGTACGACCTGGTTATCCAAATTGCCAAATAGATGAATCTTTAAAAGAAAAATTAAAACTAGCTATGGCTAAAAGATATGTTGAGGCTAATAATGCCCTAGATTTATCATGTTTTCACCATGACCCAGACCTTGTTGGAGAATATTTTTGCGCCTTATTCAAGCCAGCTATGTTGGGAGTAGTTTTAGACATTGTTGCCCAAGCCATTCCGAATTTAGAGGCTTTGAATCTTGACAACAACAAACTGTCTGCATTAAATAAATTAACTGTCTTGAAAGAGAAGTTCGCCAGTTTGAAAATTCTATATATTGGTGATAATAAGGTAAGCTACTTATAATGATTTTATTTATATTAATCTTAGACGTATCTTAAGTTTTATCTAGTAATACATCTTTTGTGTTTTTAGATTAAAGACATGCATCAAATAGACATCATCAAAGACTTGAAATTAAATGAACTTCGACTGGAAGGAAATCCAATATGCAACAGATACCGAAATCGTCGTGATGAATATGTCAGGTATTGTAATTTATCTTTTTCTAACCATACTAATTATTACAAACGCATTAGTGGAACCAAAGGTATAGGGTAGTGGTATTTCTGGAAAAAGTATCCAACAGTATTGAGTGTACTTCATGAAGTAGTACAAAATTTTTAATTAACATTCTTGTTTGTCTCTAATCAGATGTTTCATTAATAAATAGACAAGTGAAAATGAACGAAATATTCTAACCATCAAGAAATATTTAACAAAATAAAGTACAAATGATTACTTGTAAATAATGAGGTGATTTTTCAACATCAAAACACTTCACTGGCTTCATTGAATATTAATTGTTAAATTACGAATGCATTAATCATTCATAAACTATTCTTTCTGAAAATATTCATCGATATTAATTGAAATGCTTCAATAAAATTTATAAAATTATCTGAATTTACCATCACATGTATTTTCTGTAACTTGATGTGTTATTTATTTCGTTTCAATGGTTTATTTGTGCAACTTAAGTTATGATATGAAAATGAAATCTATCTACCTGATGAGTTGAAAATGACAACCAACATAAGTTAGCTCTATGTTCCATGATCCAGAAGCTAAGAGAGACTAAATTAAATATTTGAATTAAAGAGTTTCAATTAGAAGATAAGCTCTAGTATTAATAAGACATTGTTTTTGTTTTAATACAATTAACTCGGAGCTTCCGTACTTTTGGGTTTTGTTTCTTCACGACAGTGACATCCGGAAGAGGTTTCCAAAGCTTCTTCGATTGGTAAGTAATCATTTTTACATCAATTATATATTCAAATAATGAAAATATAAGTATGAAATATCAAAAATTTAATAAAAATAATATTTAATTTTTGAAGGATGGAAACGAGCTTCCAAAACCCATTTTATTTGACGTCGCAGATGAAGGAGCAAAACTTCCTCCTAGCCAAAGGATATTCTCAGCAAACGCTAAAGCCCAAGAAATTGCCAATCAATTCATGCAACAATATTTCACTATTTTTGATAGTGATTCTCGACAACCTCTTTTGGTCGCATATCATACAGAAGCTACTTTCAGTTTAGTTGTAAATGCCTCTCCTCAAATCCAGAAGTAAGTTTTTTTTCATTAATACAAAAAATTTCGTAGATTCCATTTGAAAGATAAATTTATAAATTCTTCCATTTTTTGTTACAGATTCAATGTTTATCTATCAAACAATAGGAATCTATTCAGAACTAATGATACATCTAGAAGAAAAAAGTTGTTGAAGCAAGGAAGGTTGCCTGTTGTTACCTGTCTAACAGAAATGCCTAAAACGCAACATTATCCAAACACATTCACCATGGATATTGCACTTGTAACAGTAAGTAAAATTGTACTTTTTGTGTATTTACTTTTATTGAGTTTTTGAATACATCAGCTTACTTCATTGAACGAAAAATTCTTCAAGCGATTAATTTCCAAGAGAATTTGCTTATCAAACTGAGAAAAATTGAAACAATTATGTTACTGAATAAATGAAATCCATTTTTACTTGAAGAAAGTAAGGATGTCACGAAAATTGTGTTCGACTAAAAGAACTTGATATTAATAAATTTTGTTATTTATTTTCAAGGATACCATGATGGTCATCACAGTGACTGGAATCTTCAAAGAGATAGGAACGAAAGATGAACCATTACGCTACTTTGACCGTACTTTTATCATTGTTCCTGAAGGAACTGGATATTGTATAAAAAATGAACAACTCCAATTGGGTGCACCAACAACATCTCAAGAAAGACAAGTGGCAGAAGGACCAACAGTAACATTTACTTCAGAACAAGCTGCTCAACCTGTAGCTGCACCAGCACCAGTTGCAAGTAGTGAACCTACAGATGAAGTCAAGAAAAATATGACGATGGAATTAAGTCGTGTAACAAATATGAACCTCGACTGGAGTCTCAAATGCTTACAAGAGGTGCAATGGAATTTTGATACAGCTTTAGCAGCATTCAACGAATTTTTCCAACGTGGACAAATCCCTCAAGAAGCATTTAACAAGTAAAGTTATTACCATTATTACATTAAATTATCAATTATTTTCTTTTGTTTTCCTTATGATGAAGGAATTACTTAGATAAAATGATTAAAGTCTTTTTTTGTCTCATTGTTTAAGAATGAAATAATTAGAGTATATAATGTTAATAACTTACATTTAGATAATAAATTTATTTTGAATAATCAATTGCACAACCCATTTTCAATTTAATATTATCTTGTTATGGTCAAATTGAAAAAGGGTATGTTCAAATAGTCTCGATCTAAAAATCGTTTCCAATTCGAATAATTGATAATGAGAAATTCACAGTATATAAAATGAAATATAAATATTCTATAAATTTTAGAACTGCCAAATATAATTACTAAAAAAAAAAAAATCTATAAATATAAATTGTAACTAAAGTAAAACATCAAAATATTTTTTCATAAAATCGTTTAAAAGTTGTTCTTGAACTAGTATGTCTTCGTATAAAAATTAACTTTATCATTATTACTGAGTGCTAGCAAAATGAAAGTATTTTTTTTATTAAATAAGTTCTGAATTTAAATATTAAAATTATCTTTTTGTTTCTTTTGTTTCTTTTTCATGTTTCTAGAACTCAGTTATTCTGCATTGTACTCAAAATCATTCAATATCATCTTTATGTTCATTTTTGCTCAAAAATAAGAAAAAAGAGTTGAAAATAAAAGAAATTTATCAAATAGAAATATTTATCGTGCCGATTTTTATTGATGATTTACATTTATAGTTAAATTTGCAAGATTAAAAAATTATTAAATAACAAATAAAATTTTCAACTCTTATTTCTTTTAAAATAATAAAAAAACAAAAAAATTAACACCAATTGGTTAATTTTTGTAATTATGTGATTCAACTTCAAACATTGTTCATTACATTGAGAAAATAAGTATTTTCTTTGATAGCAAAAAAAAAAAAAATGGACTTCATCACCAAAAGATATTATTTTAACATAAATTTAGTTATTTTAATTTATTCATTTATCGTCAAATGGATTATTATTATTATCTAATTGTGTTAAATCAAAAGAATATTTTCAATTAATTTTATGATATTTTCATATATTTTAAACTAAAAATGAAAAAGTATACAAATTTTATTTTAAATAAAAGTGTTAACAATAAGTCGAAAAAAAACACAGTGGGAGTGAAGACCTGGAGCTTGCAAGATTACTTCGAGAAATCATTCTTTTCATCGAAACAAAAAATAACAATTCACTTGGAATTCAACGAATTTGCTCATAAACAAATTGTGTATGAGCGTAAACACTATACACCTAGTGCAAGTACCATACTTGAGCTTTAAATCAAATGGTTCAGAACAATTTTTGGCATCTTGTTCAAACCTTGAAGCAAAGCTCTATGGATTGAACTACCATCAATACTCTTTTCTTCTTCTAATCTATCTTCTATCAACAAATTAAACTCTACGTAAACGCATCAGTTAACTGACTGAGTATGGAGTTATGGAAATAATACAATGGATTTAACTCCAAAATGGTAGTCAAATTTACACAAATTGACGCCAACTACTAATCATCAAATGGATAATCAACCATCAACGTTCTACAATGAAAACTCATCGTTAAAAAAATCTCCCACTGAAGTGAAAAATTTTCTGTATAAAAAATACTTGACAAAAATGAAAAATAAAAATGGAAATAATTTAGTTAAGTTTTGATTAGTTTAAAATATTTTTAGTAAATTATGAATTTATGTTTCAATGATATCTTATGGTGATAAAGGAATTACTTTATTTTTAACAAAAAAAAAAGCAGTAAATATTATAAAAACATAAAAAATAAATAAGAAATGAATTTCTTAATTTTATCAATGACTTACTTCTCAGACAAACGGGAATTCTTGATAAAAATTCTATCTTAAGATTATTTTAATTTTTGTAAATGTCTTACAAAAAGTATAAATTGATATCTATATTTAGATACTGTATGTTTGTAAAATCTTCTTTATTTTTTTGTAAATGATTCGCAAATGTTACATTAAATGGTAATCTAGTTTAAAAAAAATCATAAATATATATAAAAGAAAAGAAAAATTATACACTTATCAAATAGTATGTAAGAAAAAAAAATTCGTCATAATATCAACTATCAAAATAATTCAATAAGGTGTCGATGGCTTAATTCTAATTTATTAGTTTTGTATGTTTTTTGCTATATTGTAATCAACTAATATTGTAAATAAAGTATCGAAAACTAGAGAAAGCAAATGTGATTATGGATGATTATATTTACTTGAAACACTGCAATAAAATAATTTTTTATCACAAAATTTCTCGTTCATTGATTCTTTGATTCAAATAAAAATTATTAAATGAAAAATTCTGATAGACAAAATTTGGAATATGAAATTATAATATCTCTAATGAATTTTGTATTAAAATAAATAATCATTCGAAATTTTCTACCAGAAATAATAGTGGGATAATGGAAAAAACTAAAAACTTGACTAATTCTATATTTTTATGGTATTTTTAAAATGTATACTTTCAAAATTTTACATTGGTTTATTTTTTTCTTGAAAGATATTTTATGTGATGAATGTAAATAGACAAAAAGGTTTTAACATTTTCTAAATAATATTATGTAAATATAAATTGATAAAATTGAATATTTTAAATTTATCAAGTTTTTTTGATATTGCTTAAGTTATTAAAAAAACAACAAGCAATTTCCTACCACTTTCATATACTGCCCAACAGAAGACCCACAATCTTTCAAATGTATCATCCTTTCCATCAATTAACAAACATCGCGCATGTGTATTAATACCCTCTCTCTCTCTCTCTCAAACCCACAAAAAAACACGTGATTCACGCATAGAGTCACATCTCGTATACACAAAGCTGATCCTGATTTTTGCGTCTCATTAAATTTTATAATGTAATTCATTCATTTCAATTGTTTTCTGAAGAAACATGATTACAAGCCAAGAATATTTTAATCATTAGAGACTTACGTTGACGGTAATTTTTCTTAGAAGCGTTATCTGGTAAATATCGAATGGAATAACATCCTCACTTATCTTTAAATCTTCTTGAATACCGAACACACTAAGCCAAATAAGTTTACGTTTGTGTTTTAGTATTCAATATTACTAATCCAATTTCGTAAGTTTATGTATAACCTTAAAAATATTATGAAAATTATTCATTAGTATACATGAAAGATTTTGATGATAGAATTTTCTATTTATTTTGAATAAAATTCCAGAAACAATGTCGAAAATGTATTCTAATGACAAAATTAAATTACACATCCGAGGAAATTCACAAAGTAAGTTAAAATCATCTTTATTTTTAATTATTTTAAATAGTTGAGTATTTTGGTAACAAAATGATGAAAGAAAAACCATGGAGAGCGTTTTTATATCACGCAGTACTTTTTGTTTGCCTAATTATTTTACAAGATAAGCCAGCTCAAGTTCAAGCATCAACTGAAATAATAAACTTAGTTTTCAATCAATATAAAATGCTTACTTTGAAGTATCAATTTTTTAATTTAAAATTAACTCTTGTTAGATCCTGATAACCGTAATACTACTGGATATAATGGAACCCCGCGATATTCTTCAATCCAATCAAGACTTAAGTTTAAACATCGTCCAAGAATCGACAAAGATTTAAGAACAAAACTTGCAGCAAAACTAATTAAACGTGATAATCATGATTATACTTCTAATGAGGATTCAAATGTAAATCGTAGTTTACGAAGCATTATTTTTAGAAATAAAGAAATCCAGATAAAATCTGGACCTATGCCACTTAGAAGACCTCATTTGCAAAGTGACATTAGATCTAAAACATATTCAAGTGGAGAAATTAGTTGGTATAAGATAAGTGTGAGTATAATAATAAAAATTCACATTTAGAATTATTTAAATATATACATTAGTAGATATGATAACTTATGCAGAAAAATACCATATCCATGAGTCAACAAATAATCTATATTTAGTGCAAACACATAATTGTAGTTATCGTAAATTCAATTGAATAATTATTTTCATTGTTATTAATAATACATATAATCATATTTATTGGAAAATTTTATTTTTTACGCATCTTTTCTATTTTTATGATGTGAATTTTATTGAATTATTAACGAAAGAAATTTTTTAATTTAATAATAATTATTGTTCCTAAACTACTAAATATCGTTGATTTGAAATATAAATATCAAGTTATTCTATAAAAATCGTAATTTTAATAATAATTACTATACATTTCACAGACATCCTTTGGAAATAAGTATGACAAAGATTACATAATTCATAAACTTCTCAAAATCACAGCGCCATTAACTTTCATACCGATCATGGTAAGTTTCTGCTCACCTATTTTTTGTAATAATTTCTTAGTTTATTGTATTAATCGTTAAAAAACAAAAATGTTTACAAAATTTCCTCTTTTTTTATAAATTGTAGTATCGAGTGATAGGACAAGAGGCAGTATTTTATGTAGATGACCAAAGAACAGCAAGCACATTACTTGACTGTGACCGAAAAATAACAACCCCAGATAACTTTAAAATATCAGTCAAAGTAAAACCTGGTTATCCAAATTGCCAAATAGATGAAACTTTGAAGACAAAATTAAAAATAGCTATGGCTAGACGATATATTACAGCTAATAAAGCTTTAGATTTATCATGTTTTCATCATGACCCGGAGCTTGTTGAAAATCATTTTTGCGCTCTGTTTAGACCAGAAATGATGATGACAGTTTTAGAGATCGCTGGTCAGGCGATTCCAAATTTAGAGGCTTTGAATCTTGATAATAATAGATTGTCTGTACTAGAAAAATTGAACGTACTTCAAGAAAAGTTTGCTAATTTGAAAGTCCTACACATAGGTGATAATAAAGTGAGTTATTAAAGTACCATAAATTTTAATAAAGTTTATTAGAATATTAAATCAAATGAAAGAATCATCGTTTTTCAGATCAGGAGCTTACATCAAATTGATGAATTAGGAGATTTAAAATTAAATGAGTTCAGACTTGAAGGCAATCCATTGTGTGATAGATATCAAAATCGTTTTGATGATTATGTCAGGTAAGATTATTTTGGAATCGACTATTATCTTTTCTTATGGTCATATTAATATGGCCCCATAATTTCATAAATTAAGTAACAGTTCGGATAAGGCCGATGAGGTCCGCAGGACTAACTTTTTAGTAGGAAATGACTAAAATTAAGAAACTTAGAGCATGAAAAGAAATCGATTAGTTTATCTTTCTCAGTTTTGTTATTTCGAATAAAAAACTTCTTCAGGTTCTAGTTACATATAATGCATCGAATAGAACAAATCTCATATCAATATCATCATTTGTTCTAAAATATAACATAAGCCAAGTTGAATTAATAACTATTTGAATTTTTCTATCGAAATAAAAAAATAGTACACTCACCTTAAGTCACTTCTTAAAATTAATATATTAATTATTCTTGTCAATAACATAATAAATTCTTAAATATGTTTATAAAGTAACTATGTAGTTTATATTTTATTTTGCTGTTTTTACAGGGACATTAGAGAAAGATTTCCAAAACTACTTCGATTGGTAAGTGATCAATGATCACTTTGATCTCGTTTTGACTCTGAAAATGCTTGTAGAAAAATTTTATTTATTTATAGTATTGAAATTAATTTAAAAGATATTAACAAATCTAATTATATATTTTTTTAGGATGGAGTAGAGCTTCCGAAACCGATTTCATTTGATGTATCAGATGAAGGCACCAAAATTCCTCTGAGTCATCGAGTTTTTACAGCAAATGCTAAAGCCCAAGAAATTGCCTACCAATTCATGCAACAGTATTTCACTATTTTTGACGGTGAATCTCGACAACCACTTTTAGATGCGTACCACGAACAAGCTGTTTTTGATTTGGTTATTACTCCATGTTCAACAATACACGAGTAATTTCTTACACATTTTTGATGAAAATTTAACGGAATCTTGGAAACATTCATAGCTATTAATCAATAATATTTTTTACAATTTTAACAGATTTAAACATTACTTTGATGTAAATCGAAATTTATTTCGTATAAATGATGTGACCAAAAGAAAAAGATTGCTGAAGCAAGGAAGGTTATCTGTTGTGAGTTGTATTTCAGAAATACCAAAAACACGACATTTTTCGAACACATTCACTATGGATATTGCTCTTGTGACTGTAAGTACAAATCTTTTTAGGAAAATACATTGATTTAGAGTAGATATGAAGAACTAGGGCTATGCTAGATAACAAAAATTGTCTTTACTTCTCTCCATGATGATGATTTTTTTATTATTTTTAAATTTAATCATTAAATTTTTTTAAAATAAATAAATATTTAGTAAACAAAAAATTTTCAATCGATTAATTTTCAAGAGAATTTGCTAAATACTGAGTGCGTATAAAAATTCAAATGAAACATTTATATTGATTTTTTGTTAAATTAAACTAATTTTATCATTAGGAATTGTTTCCGACTAGAAGACTTGATGTTAATGAATTTTGTCATTTATTTTCAAGGATACCATGATGGTCATCACAGTGACTGGAATCTTCAAAGAGATAGGAACGAAAGATGAACCATTGCGCTACTTTGACCGTACTTTTATTATTGTTCCTGAAGGAACTGGATATTGTATAAAAAATGAACAACTTCAATTAAGTCCACCAACATTCTCTCAAGCGAATCAAATGATAGAAGGACCAACAGTAACATTTATTCCCGAACCAGTTGCTAATGTCGTAGCCACACCATCATCAAATTCAGCTAGTGAACCTACAGATGAAACCAAAAATAATATGGCTATAGAATTAAGCCGTATGACAAATATGAATCTCAATTGGAGTCTTAAATGCCTACGAGAGGTAAAATGGAGTTTTACCATAGCTGTATCAGCATTCAACGAATTTTTCCAACGTGGACAAATCCCTCAAGAAGCATTCGAGAAGTAAAGTCGTTATTTTTTCTTACTTTGATATAGTAGTTAAACAGTTAATAATAAAAATTTATTAATCATTGATAAATTTCTTTCATAAAAAGTTTGCTCAAATATTTGTCATTATTTGGCATCATTTGCCAAATGTTACTGAAAAAACACATGTTAAAGTTACAATATAAACTTAAGATATATTATTGATAAGACAAAGATATAAGAAAAGAAAGTTACTTTTTTATTTTTATATAAAAACTTCAAGTGACAATTAAAGAGTATGTCTTAGCATTAGTATAAAATTGTTCAATACATGTTTAAGAACATTTAAAAAAATACACAGTAGTTTTTCGATTAAGTTTTTTGTCAGAATAAGTTTTATTTTTTTCATACATAAAGTTTTCATTGATTTCTATTATAATTTTAATATATCTCATTTATAAAAATTCTTCCATGCTTTCAACTAAAACTTAATTTTTTAGTTATGACAGTAAAAATCTAATTTCATCATGAAATTTCATTTAATATTTGAAAGATAAAACTAAATAAGTTATGTATAATTTTAATACATTTTTTAAAATTAATTATTCATCTTCATGACTGTTCAATCTTATGTTTACTTTTTCAAAATAATCGATTAATACCAATATGATGTTATACATGTATATTTTTAATGAAAGTAAAGTCTAAACAGTGACAAGTATATGTCTGTTAAAAAAAAAATATAAGTTCATTTTTTTATATAAATTCACTTTAACTAAAACAAAATTTCAATTTCAATTTACGTATACTTGGAACAGTAAAATGTTCATTCGACAATACTAGATATAAAAATGAATCTGAATCTGTCTTTGATGTGAGATTGATTTAAAATCACTCTTTGAACATTGAGGGGTTTATTTGAGGGAAAAGGGAAAATTTATATCTATAAATTCCTTTGATAAATCTTACGCAACGATGAGTTACATGAAGACAGAGTCGTTTTGTTCAAAATAAATTATTTTGTCATAAAAAGTGAAATTATGTAATTGAGTAATATAATAGAATTCAAAGAAATGATTTATCAGACTTTTATACGAATAAAATGGTCTTTATAACGATTTAAAAGCTTTAATCTTTATGCGTGGACTTTTACTTTACATATTGAAAGCATTGGTATGATAATGTAATAAAATAAATGGATGCTTCTTGTTAAAGTAAAGGTACAAAGTTTGTCTGTTGCTCTTATATTTCCATCATTATTCAGAATATTTTCTGTCTGTGTTTTCCCTTAACTAGTGTCTTCGTATTTTGTATCTACAGATATAGTTCGCACTTGAATTGATCTGATTTATTTTTCCTTTTATTCTTTAAAAAGAAAAAAAAATGAAAAAGAAATAGACGGGCTTAACTTAGAGAGCGAAATATAACAAGTCCCAACGCCATTGCTGGTGCGATCACCCTTATTCAATGGGAATTTCGTCGTTGGCTACAAAGAGAGTGGGGTAAATACGGTAGGGGTGAAAATTTATCCATCTCTGTCTCTCGCTTTTACCCTTATACTCTAGATCTGTGCTCCCAAGGGATTTAGCAGTTTCATGGGAGGTCGAAAACTCCGCCTCTGCACCGCAAAATCGAGTCAATACTACCGACCATCCCACTCGCTTGCTGCTCTCTCAGAGTTCTACATTGACTAACACCATTCTGCATCCACTTTGTCGTCGAGCTATCCTATCGAAATTCATCCAGTGTTCGTCGGTGAATCCTATACCTCTACTTTTGCAATTTACCAGAAGTACTTTTCTCGTATAATTGCAAGCCCAAAAGCCATTGAAAAATAGAAGACCAAATGTTCCTAAGAATTATCACCTTGCTTTTATACTTTTACTTAATTAGTAGGATTTTATTGATTTTTATCGTAAAAGAGTTGAGGAAAATCATTATTTAATTCTAGAATGATCAATGATGCCATAAACCGACCAGCGGATTAATAGAGTTTAGGATTATAGTGTAGATCAATTACTTGTCTGGAAATCCTAATTCTATGATGATAAAAGAAATATCATAGAAATGAAGAATTAGAACATTTAGAAGTTTGATTTTGTAATGACTTCACACTTGAAGCAAAAAGTGTTTTGAGCTGAATTATTGGAGACATATAAGCCACAAAAATAATATTTTAATGGCCAATGATCGAATTTTAATAAATAGGGCGTGCGTTAAGGCTTATTATCTCTACTTTTGTGCTTTAAAATGCTTAACTTGGATCTTTTCCAAAGAAAAAATTTTCTTATCCATATATATTTAAAAATTAAACATACTTTTTTCTTGTTGGTTCACAATTTTTAGTTAAAAATATCAAAAATCATGAATTAACTACTTTTTATGTCTGATTTCACTCATTTTTTACTACTGACTAATTAACAAGTCTTTAATATATTTAAACTTTTCTTTTCTTTAATTAGAATGTTAATCTTGAAAATTATTTTTTTATAGTTAATATAATATAATGAATTAAATCTCAATAGATAATGAATAAAAAGATATTTAGGAGTCACAAAAATAGTATTTAAAAATAATTAGCTGTGAAATTTTTTTTTATTATCTGTTTTTATCTTATTGTTTTGTATTAGAAGTATACAGTAACATAGTGACATCATAATAAACAATTGTAAATTGTCGAGTGTTAAATCATTTTTGATTTGAATTCTTTCTCAGAAAAATGACTCTAAAGAAAAGAATTGTCACAGATTTCACACTCTCTGATTATATTTATATTCACTTTTATTACTAAGAAATATCAGTAATAAGTTTATCATTTTATTAGTATATATCTTTTCTCTATACCACGTAAATTTTTCATTATAATTATCATTATCATATAATATATATTTATATATATATATGTATATGCACTTTTTAATATATATATAATCCTATGTATTTATATATATATATATCATAATATTTAAGTACGAATAATTAATTTTTGTACATATCACATAACACTTTTTCCATTCGAGTATTGCCAATTGTTCGATGAAAATAAATCAATTCAACTCGTGAAGCCGGTACTGTTCTTAATAGTGACAACAGAAGTAAAAGTCTTCCAAATCTTGTTGGACACGCTGGTTGTTGTGCTCGTGCATGCTGACCCAACATCACTTGAGCCTGATCCTGAAGATTTTCTATTTGACTAGAATCCTTGAGTCCACGTGTTTCTATAAAATGAAACGTCCACTGATTCATTATCATTGATAGATAATCTACTCTAGAGCATAGTTGAACAAGGTTTGTTTTTTTAGAGCAAAAAAGTACATTAGTAAAAAGATTCAATGTAGACTGAGTGTCACTCTTCTTCATTCTTACACTAGTCATAGACTTAGAGAACACGAGAACACCTAGAACAGCTAAAGCAAATTTTGTCCAGCTCTGTTCTAGAATAATTACATTGGTGATGAGATAGGGGCTAGTAACAATTTATTATCTCCAATTAATCGTTAGTTGAACAAAAGAAGATAATGATATTAATTATTACGAGCTTGCTCAACATCCGGGCTTGTCCAACCATATTGCTACAAGAGTATTTGCAAATTTATTGAATATATAATACACTAAAAAAAAACTAATTGTACAATGATCTTCTCAATTCACTTGTAAACTTAAATATTTCCACCTCAATGATTCTTTCAAAGTTGATATCAAACTTTAATAGATGTAGTTAATCGTGTGGGATTATTTACCTGGTCTAAATAAAACAATTGCCTTCATGCAAGCAAACTCGGCAGGATCAACCATGACTGCTTTAAATCGCTGAAGAGTATCATGTAGATATCGAATGTCTGCTGCAACTTGGCTAGGTTTATCAGCTGCATCATTAGGCATGTGCATTCCCGAGTGAGGATGATTAGGCGATAAAGTGAGTGCTGTGAGTTCAGCTGCGTTAAACAACGATGAAGATTCAAGAGGAAGACACCACTGAACTGCATTGAGGAGGAACAGTTCAGACCAGGCTTCTTCTAATAAAATAACTTGATCACGAAATGGTAAACTAGCAAAGGAAGGAAGATTCTTCGCCCATTTCACAGCCATGAAAAGGAGTCTAGCACTAGTTTCGTACACTGTTTCTACATTTGCTGGTGAATATAAAGAAGACATAACAGGTGGCAGTTGAGAGCAAATATTTCTTTGCAGGGTCGTAGGCTCTTCATTGGTAACATCTATACTATCTTCTGAAGCATTTCCTAATTTGTTGGATTAACATTTATGTTATCTATTAATAACTTAATTTTGTTTCATAGATTTTAGTATTAGAAAATTTAAATAAATTACCATCTTCTGGATCTTGATGAGCTGGAGGTGTTGGAACAGCTGCTGAGTTGGTTGTTGGTGCTATTGCAGATAGAGGCATTGGGGTTGCATATCGTGCCATTGCTAATGTCACTGGTGGTCTATAAAGTTTAATCATTTCTTATTAATCATTAAAAAAAAGATTATTTGAATTTAAATCAATCAATATTAACAAGTTTTTATATGATTATAATATTTTTGTTAATATTTAATATTAAAATTTTAATCATTTTTTAAATTATAGAATGATGAAAAACTTATAGTAATAATAGTAATTATAATACAAATTAGCATTTATGTTGTAGATTACTTCATCCATTAATAGCCTGTGTTTTGTTTCTTTAACGGCAATGTTCGGTGCATTGCATCGTATTACATGCCGCGATTGACATAAAATTTTTTTTATACTCATTATTTTTACAATACGTTTTTCGTTCACTTTGATCATCAGCCAATAAGCATATTGTCGTGTCAATGTAACATTGCAATAGCAAGCTCATACACAAATGACGTTTTCACGGACGATAAAAACTCGTCAGGTTATAATCCAGCATAAAACTTTATCTAGAGTCCAAGATAAAAGTATAAGCAGCCGTATAGAAGCGTGTAAAATTGTCACAGACCATCACAGGTGATCAATGGCGCTTCCAAGTGGTCAAAACTTTGCTACTTGCTACGTACAATTATGCAAACAACAACGTGTACGACCTCTTCCAGTGATCTGTGTCACTCTGCCTCACAGCTTGGACTTTACGACAGATCGAGTGAAAATGGATGACTGGGGTCCAATATTGAACTCATTATCACTAGATCGGAGTCTAAAATCCGTGAGTGTAAGAAGTAGATGGTATCTTCAAGGTCAAAAATCTTTTGAAGATTGTAATAATACTGAAAATAAGAGGAGAGCAGTGAGTAAGACTTCTCCAGTTACATTGACACGTTATTTATTAGAGTGGTTGAGTCAAAGTATTGCACAATGTGTCCGAAATTCACCAACATTAACGTATCTAGAGCTTGAAGGTGTACCTTTGCCTACAGATTGTCTAGCGGCTTTGTGTGTTGGTCTAGCCAGTACAGAGACTCTCCAACATCTATCATTAAGACGCTGCTATATTGGAGACAATAATTGTGCTCTAATCTGTCGTACTGTTGCTGATGTGCACAGTATAAGATCATTGAACCTTAGCCAATGTAATCTAAGTGCAAACTGTGGTTTAGCTTTGGCATCAACACTCTGTCGACAAAAACTTTTACTCTATCATGACGCTTGGAAGGATTCTTTGAGATACAGAGAACCCAATCCTGAAGCAATGCCTGGTTTAAGACGACTGACGCTAAATGGAAACCCCCATCTGGGTGATTCAGCAGTTGCTCAAGTTATTGATGCTATTCAAGATAGTTTATGGTTAAAAGCATTAGACCTTCAGAATTGTGGACTGACAGACGCTATTGGAAATAAAATTATTGAATTATTGGATAACAATAAAACTTTGGAAGTGCTTGATGTTCGATTAAATTTAAATCTAAACAATGACATGGTGCAAGAGATTTTTGAAAGATTAGCTACAAACAATGGTGGTTGTAATTTAAAATATAGACCTCTAAGTTTACCTCAGAAGAATAATAAAGCTGTAAAGGAATTAAAACGCACTAATGATGTTAATAAAAATAAGATGCTAAGATCTAAAAGCATGATTATTACAAAAACTGAACGACCTTATCATCTAAATGGATTTTCTCATAATATGCGACCTTCTTATCCTTCGTTGATTGATGAGAAAAGAAGAAAAACTAGGTTACTGACTTCTTATTCTGTACACAAAGCTAAAAATAAAATAGCGGAGAAGAATCCAAGAAAAGTATCCCTTCATTTAGATCTTCAAGCGCAAATGCAATCAATAGGTGACTCGTGGAAAAATACTGACCAAATTCACCAAGATCAGTTGAGTAATAATCACAAAAGAGTGTGCAATAAACCACAAGAAAATGAAAGAGAAGTGGAAGGGGCCAAAAGTCATTATAAGTTTCAGGATCTTTTGAAACAATTATCGGACGTCAAAATGGAAAAGAACAAGTTATTAAAGAATACACAGAAGATACAAGTAGAGTTAGAAGAAGAACGAACTCGACGACAAACTATTGAAACAAAACTTTGGACGATGAAAAAAGACTTGGCAGATTTAGAAAATGCGTTCAAAGCTAAGGAAATGGAAACTCGTGGATTTCTTCGTACTAGTCAACAGTCGTTTGATAACATTTCAGCATCATTTGAAAAGCTATCAGAAATTATCAACAATTGTGCAAGTAATCCTAAAGTAGATCTAAACGAAGAAGAAGAAAAGGCTGAAGAAGAGACTGATAAATCATTCTCCCTTTCAGAGGATGAAAATGAAACTAAGGTAGAAGATAAGGTAGAAAAAGAAGTCATAAAAGTAGCTGGAGATGATGAAAAAGAAGCTATGAAAACTAACGTTAGACGAAAAGTTGACTTCTTTATAAGAAAAAGTAAATCAGAAAAATTATACCGAGACTTTCTTCAAGTGGTAAAGTCATCAAAAAAATTATCACAATCTGAAAATGACATGCGAGCTTATGATTACTTGTTAAAATTTGGATCTTTGACTGTTCAAAAAATTGGAGATCGTCCAGATTCTGTGTCGTCTTCATCAAATTCAAGTTACAGAAGATATGAGAATGTAAAACCATTGTATTCACCATGTGAAAGAGCTCGTGCTATTTTTTCCGAGATCGTTAATAGTGATATAGCACTAAATCTAGGCAGCTCTCACGGTACTTAACCATCACGTCTTCAGAGATTGGATCGAAGTATAAATGCCAAATGTCGTGCACCAAACTAGAATAATAAATTAATAATAAAGACAGAGATGAATAATGTATTGTTAGAGATTAACAGTGAATGTAATGATTCTGAAAATGACTTATACACCAGATATTTTGGTAATTCTTATACAAATAATTGAAATATACTCGGATTTTTCGAGGAAAATTGTTTATAAGTATATCATATGATGTGAATTGTTCCAGTGTATTTACCCGTTTTATATATACATATTGATTTTTTATTACTTCCAGTTCGAGAAGCATTACCTGAAGTGTTTCTATGGTCAAGTTGTCAAAGGTAATTTTTCATGATAGATCACGCTCGACGTGATGCACCGCTCGTGTTGCTCGCGATGTTGAAGATAACGCTACCAAGATCAAACGTGCTAATGGCATCCATTCTGCTGTTGTTGACGTACTTTTTCTCTATTTTATTATCTCGTTTATTTATTTGCACGTTTCTTTCCCTACTTTTCCATTCTTTTAATAAGCTATATGATATTTTATTGAAGAATATACAAACCCTTGGTTGAATCTAATCAACTTGGTGAGATAATCTGCAGATTTATTATGTAAAAACTTACCCAAATACTCCAACAGCAACGGCAGCCTCTCTCAACGCCCTCTCTTGGTCCATTTCTACAAGAGCCTCTGGTCTAATGGTCGCTGTATTTCTCGGTTGTCTTTCGTTCTGCACGGCTGCAACAATCCAAGGAGTTTCCTCTTGATTAGTCATCATCATCTGGTAATCCTTCCATGCAGCACGAGTAAGTTGTATGGCTGCGGGAGTGCGCAGGAAAATACAACACAAAGGAAATCGAAAAATGCTAGCATAATGTCGAGATAAGTTTGAGCATGAATCGATTATCGTTATGAAAGTGGCATGTCGATAGAGGGAGGATCAGGCTGCATGCACAACTTCCATCGTCTCCACCCCTTCGTCAATTTTACGTAACGCAATTATGTCAAAAGGTACCTGCGTTTGACATGAAAACTATAAAAGACGCGCTGTTTGTATTTATATTGTTAGATAACCTCACTACCATGGCTTGTGCAAGAAGCGAGAGGATTTGATGAGTTCGATGATGATCGAGACATGTATAGACCACTTCTATGCTATATACACTGAGGTAAATGATAAAAGAGTGCCAATATGTACGTTAATTGCGCGTTAAACTGTATAATTTTATACTTTATGTTATATATATTTTATAGAATTCATTATATAAAAATATTCATACCTGTGATCAATTATTATTTCAATTGATGACAATGGTTGTTTAATATTGCAAGCAGGGCAATTCAATAACATATTTTCACATAATACGATATGATACCATTAGTAATAATTAATAAATATATAAATTTAACAAACTCTCTCTATTGATATTTTATTCATTCATTTCACAGGTGTATTATCATATATTTCAACAAATTATTATCATTCAATATATAGATAAAATAATTTTGAATTTTAAAGCTTAGAAAAAAATAAATTGAATTCAAATTAAATAAAACATTAATTAAAAAATATTACATTTTTTATTAAATATTTATTTTCATTAAAATAGAAATTGGAAAATGTCTGATATTTTTCATAATTTTTTTTTCAATTAAAAAAAAGTTGTAGTGATTGTTAAAATTTTTTTTGAAGTTGAACTTTTCAAGCTTGATTGAAATAATTTCAGAAAATAGAGTTCAGACATTACAGTTCACTTATCACTATTATTATTAAAGAAGATTCACTTTGTATTTAATTAAAAGTTTATCGTGCTATTAATACTGAAATATCATTATTAAGTCTGTGTAAATTTCTTTTATTTGTTAACTTTTATTTCACGAGATCAAAAGGTTAGAATCTAGAATATTGATGAAAGTCTTTATATTATATTATTTATTAATAATATCTTTTAAAATTCTATCAACTAAATAACAACCATTTACCTCTCTGTAATTCTATTTAGACATATGCATTGATGATTTATTGCCTAGCTTTCTTATTTTTGCTACAATGAATATGGAGCTCTTCAAACTAATTTATTTTCTTTTTCAATCCTGTTGAAAATATTATGAATTGAAAAAATCAGTGGTTAAATCTTATTTTTTTAACTCAGATAGAAATAATAAATGATTTCATGACATTCAGAAAAGATGATCAAGAACAAGTAGAACTCATACTCCAAAGATTCTATAAAGCTATATAAAATTCTGTTTGATATTTAAATTCTTTAGATGCTTTTTCCTTATTTTATTCTGTGTTAGATTTTTCTTCATGTTAAATGTCAAAATTCTAGCTCAATTGGAAATATCTTGAAGATTTTGATGATCAATCAATGACAATGTTGATAAACAAGCAAACAATAAAGTGATCCTGTGAGCATTATATTTTTAAAAAAAATATAAAACTCTAAAAATCGATAAAATGTAGTGATGTGTATTTTACGTCAAGCATTGGACAATAATAAACTACCAAGAAATCAGTCAAGAACATCAAAGCCACGAGTATCTGAATGTTAATGATGCAGCTCTTCAAAAAGAAGCCCATGAAAAGTGCAAAAAGTAACGAAGAGTCATTCCAAAGTAACTGTGTAATTAAATGCTCAATAATGAGAAATATGGTAATAGGTTTATGGGTATGAATGTGGTAATATATTGTTAGCATGTTAGGCAAAGTGTATGACGGTGGTGTTAGCTGGCTCACCATGACGCGCTATTCGCTCCGTAAACACTGCGGTCGTTAGCAACGGTCGCGTGGCCAGACGCCTGAAGGGTTAATTGGAGGAAATAAATGTACGCTAGACGAACAAACGACCAGAGATACTCATACGTACAGAGATGTGAAGGGGTGAACACAGAGAGTATGCCAAGTGGTGACAAGAGAACGCACGCATTTCGGTGTCGTCAACCACCCGCCGAGCCCATGCAAATGAGACCAACGCGATGGACGTTTATCTCTTTAGCTACTACCATCTACAGTCGACGACCCAGGGTAAGAGATAGAGAATGGGAGGAGGTGGATAAAAGGGAAAAAACGACAGAAAAAGTTGCAAAGGGACGTATTTCACAGAAGTAGGAGGACCCTATTAAGCTGCTCAGCAGGCCACGAGAATGGCAAAAAGTTGCCACGTTTTTAGCATTTTTATTATTATTATTATTATTATCATTATTGTTATGATTATAATTGTGGTTTCTGTTGAATAACATATCATTTTATATATATATATATTTCAGATAAGTGTTTTAAAGCTGTTCATGGACAAGAAATATGCACTATTTAGCACTAAATTGTATGCTGATTGATCCTTTTCAAGATTATTCTAATTTTCTGCTTCATTATAATATTGCATTATTGAATGAGTAAGGTGAGTCAAAATAAATAAATATAAAACAAGAAAAAATATATCAATAATGTACAGTATGTACTAATTATTATTGTTTTTGATTTATCATTTCATTAGGTACATCAACTGCTACAATTAGAGAAATTTTTTACTGAATTACATGAATGGAGAAAATTTTAAGCTAACAAGTGATTTTGATCAAATCTAATGAAAATCTCAAATCAGGTAATGTAATATTACAAAAATATTTGAGCAAATTTATCATTAAAATGAATGACATGGAATATTAGGCCGAATTGAAAATTTTAGCAAACAATGTAATTTACTTGCAATCAATTAGTATCTGTTCCAAATTGATTTTAAGTGATTCTATCATAAATGAATAATCGAAAATCATTTCAAAAGTATATGGATCATCTTAACGATGATATTCCAAAAAAATTAGCAGTAATAGTGAATTATTTCTTACACATGAACTACTTAAAAACAGGTAAATATTGACAACAGTATAACAGTGTATACAAGACAATTATAAATAAATTTAAATTACTGGAGACTTCAATTAAAACTATTGGTGTACAAAATATTGTAATTTCTCTTCTAGAGATAAAAATTTCAAACTAAACAATACCCATAAATTTCAACTTTGTCAATTAAAAAAACTCATTCAAATTTTTTTAACTAAATTTACTTGTGTATACAGTATATACATTGAGAAAAAATTATTCCAATAAATAAAACATTCCGTTGAAAAGCAACCACAAATTAATTAATTTAAAAAATATTTTATTAATTCCAATAGATGATTTCGAAAAACAATCATTTTCATTTGTATCCCATACAATTATTTATCATTTCATATTAAGAAAAATATGAAACTGATTTTACATTTTTTTAAATTCATTTAATAATTTATTTCAATTATTTGATGAAACATTTTATTAAAGTAAATAATGGATTTCTCAATACACTTTTGTTTTAGGAACTCTCCAGTATTTTCAATCTCAAACAATCACTTAAAATTCAAAATACAAATACTTACCATCTTTGTTCATACCCATTTGCATGCACTTTTTGAGCCGGCAAGCTTGACATTGATTCCGGTGTGCTTTATCTACGATACATCTTCCAGTACCAGCTTGACATCTGAAAATTTAGACAAAGTTAAATTCAGAATTTGTTTTTGATGCATATACAATGGTAATACAAAAGAAAGAAGTGACTAGTGTGATATATTTTTCATGTAAAGAGATAAAAAGTAAATTTTTTCTTGGTCACATTTTCTTTATACTTGGCAAAGTGCACTTTTCGTAAATTGGACGACGATGCGTACTTGGGAAATGGCGTTAAATTCAATTTACTTTCATTGTTGGGACTAACTTTGTTATCCCCGATCGCGACGGCAGAGGATCGCATCGTTGGGGTTATATACCAGGGTCACGTAGCTTCCTCCTTATCCCTTCTGTAATCCTGCTGAATTTGGAGACTCTAACAAAAAAGTTCTTCGGATGACACCATGAAGTCTTTTTGAATTCCACGCTAGTGGAATAATTGTACTTGTATAAACAAGTCAAATAAAATTCCATCAAATAACAATTTAAGAAATCTTATAAATCACATTGTATTTTATCTTTTATTTTAATTAATTTATTCATAGAATTATTGATTTATAATACATTTATAGCTATTAGTAAATAAAAAAAATTAAACTTTTATCATTTTTTTTGAATAAAAATAAATAATAATAAAAGCAAGAAGCATATTTTTTAAACGAAAAGACGTAGAGCTTTTATTTTATCGATTATTTAATTTTAATTTATAATATTGGTAAGGTAATAGTTCAACTAGTGGTGATAAAATGTTCCATATTTATAAGAACCTCCTACATTATCTATTTTGTGTCTTTATAATCAACTTATTAGTAAAAATTAATATTTAAGGTTGAAAAAAGTTCATTGTATGCTGTGATATTATTTTTTTAACATCATAAAAACAAAGATATTTTTTACACAGAACAATAAGAATATGTAGTAATTATATAAAAATGATTAGACATTACTAGATCCCTTGTGATCAATGAAAAGTCATTGAAATAAGTTGGTTGAATTTAAATAGATCAATTGAGTCATTTAGTAAGATTTAAAATTTAAGAATGTTTGATATTTATTAATAATATTTTTTTTTTTATGTAAAAAAATACTTTAAAAGTTCTGAGTCTGATACAATATCCATTAGATGAACTTTTTAATGTAACAAATTAATTTACTCTAAAAAAAATCAATGACAACCAGAGTAAAGTAGTACGAGTTTACTAATTTAATTCCAAGTACCTGAATAAAAAACAAATAATGTTAAAGATTGTATCCTAGAAAGATCAGAAGTACCTAATCAACATACTAATTGTCTTATGAAATTATTTAAATAGCTTCCTGCTAATACATATCAATAACTCAAATAGTAGTACTTATTTTATTTCATTTTTCAAACTTCATGAAATTATTGTTGACCTTTACCATCATTTACATGATATATTTTTAATTATTATTTAAATGAATACCAGTAATGATTTTTCTATTTTGTTATTTTTTGTATGAATGAATTAATGAATCAGCAAATATCAAATCAATGACCATCTTAGCATGAATTATGATGAAATAGACCATATTTTTCTGATTATATCGAGTCTAACTTAATAAAACAAACAATACAGACGTAGAGGTACATGGCAAAAAGAGAACAAATGACAGAGACAGAATAAGACGTAAATAAATGTATGATGTGGTTCTGAAGGATGAATACGAGTCTGAAAAGGGCACGAGTATAGACTTTCAAGCTGTGTTCTATAGGGTGTGAACGCAAATCAATTTGTGTAACCCCTGCCGGTGCGCCACGCTCCCTTCGTACATTGCTCACTGCCTCGGGACAAGATAGTCCACTACAGATTTTGCTGCAACAGCTTGCCGTCGCTTTCATGTTTCCATCCATATCGTTCATGTATTAGTGTATCTATATGTATATACTTGTCTTTTCCATGACGTGACTGACGTTCATTTAAATCGTGCTAATCAGTGATTCGAGGTAAAAAGTAACACGTAAAAGATATGCACCATTTTTAGCATTTAATTTTACTTGGTTTAAATTATTCAATAGGATTGAAATAATTTCTAGTCTATTTTTACTGATTGATCCATCCCCAAGTATATTTATAGGCATCAATGGAATATTACTGGTTTAACCATTAGGATTTGCTTATGTTAGTTGAATGATAAAATGTGCTGATAGAATTTTTCAAGTACTTTAAATCAATAACCACCAATTAATTTTTTTTCTTAGACCACTAATTATAGTTTAATTAATTTATTTATTAAAGCAGTAATATTAATTTAATTAAAAGAAAAAAAAAACTAGAAAAAAGAGAACAGGAAAAGAATAAACATTCTCTTGTTGTTTACTATCTTAGGATGAATCAGTGAAAATGAGTGCTAAACTCATAAGTAATGAGATCAGTGAATTGATACTGAAAAACAGTCAATGATTTCTGCTTTGTAACCATTTTCACTGGTTTATTGTAAGAAATTAAACATAGTGTAAATCCAAATCTGTTCAATATAAAGTGATGGAAATAAATAATAGACATTTTACCACATGAAAATGAGCTTATATAAATTATTATATTAATGAACTTTCAGATATAAGATGTGAATGTCTTTTGAATCAACCAGACTTTGTTTCAAAGAATAAAAAATATTTTAATGTACTCTGATTTTCTCTATTTTTAAAAATATGTTCATTTTTTAGGTGGTGCTCATCAAGTCAACCTACGTAGCCCTTTTTAAATAAATGGTATGTTTATTACTAAAAAAAAAATTTAATTTCTTATATTTTAATTATTATTAATTATGTATTTTTAAAGTTTATGTAACAATTTCTTACACACATTAATATATGTTAATTTTTATAGGTACGTGTTAACTAAAAGATACTTCAGTTTGTAGTGGGGTGAGCTCTGAACCTTTTGAGCAGAAAATTATCAGGGCTAACTTGAGAGCCATACCAGAAATGTAACACACAAGATCCTGATCAGACTACTTTACTTTAATGAAGTAAATCAATAAACCTTCACTGTTTTTCACTGCCAATTCATCTATCATTTATAGTTTTATATTTTCATTTAAAAAAACATTAATAAACAAAAAATAATTTCATATGAACAAAGCCTGGCACAGTATCATTTAAATGATATAATGAATAAATTTATTTTGAAAGACCATTTTTATGTGGTTGTTAATTAGAACTTTCTATTAAATTCAATACACTGATAAAAAAAAATTTTATCTTAATAAATATATCTATGATCCAAGCAACTACTGTTTTGAATATGATAAACAAACTTCTTTTTGAATGAGTAATATTTATGAATATTAAAATGATTTCATGATGTTATTTATTGATCAAGCATTACTATTGGCAATTTGTTGTTAACTTTTAAATATAAATAATTTACAATATTATAAAATGCATAGCACATTCAATGCACTAACCAATTCATGTTTCTGACTGATTATTATATAATGCTACAAATCAATGCTTAAAAGAAATGTATTTCACCATTCTGAAGATACTTTTAATTAAAGCAATTATCACAACAACCTAATTAGCGAAAAAATAAATAAATCAATGGTGACAATTATTCGTACATTTTTTATAGAAGCTGAAAAAAATTGCATTTATTTATTTGTTATAAATAAAACTTATCTTTGAAAAGTCTTGGTTATTGTATTACAATTGTATACTTGAAAAGAAGCTTTTTTCCTGACAAATATAGAAAAAAAAAATTAAATTATATCCAAGAAATTTTATTTTGATTTATACCTGATCAGAGTTATACTTGGAAAAAACTTCAACTTGGATGTACTTAAAAAGGATAAAATAGTGCTTGAAGTATAATAAACGACATAATTGATTAGAAAATTATACTCAGTTGTATACTAGATCTTTGGACTTGAATCTATGCCCGGTAATCTCACGATTGTAGGCGTGCGTCGGGACGCATCTGTCGCAACGTAGGATAAAGCACCAGTTAGGATGAGAGTCAATCCCTCGATCCCTTGGAATAATTGGTTATCTGTGCGAAGGCTCTTCAATTTTTATCGCATTACAACCATATGACAGTAGGAAATACTGCAAAGACCTTGAAATTTTTATTTGGAGTCGATATATTGATAAATAAATCGTATAAATCATAAAGTTATTTCCTTGTTTGTACTCAAAATCCACTCACTAATCCGGATCAGAAATATTCTATTTAATATCTTTTTTTATTGCCATTAAAAATATTCTGTTATCGTAGATTTGTATCGAATACGGAAATAAATTTTTTTTTTAATTTGAAAAATTAATTGTTTAAAACTTTTTATTTATTATCTTCATTTTTTCGTTTGTAAGATTAAAAAAAAAATAGAATTTTTTTCCCTAAAGTATTCCTTCAAGTAACAATGAAAGTAATGCTAATAAATTCGATTATTTTTATTTACTTTTAATTTAAATAAAAAAATATTTAATTGTAAAAATTAATACTCCAAGTTGATTCCTTAATTTCTATTGATTACATTCTGTACTTGGTTTTATTTTTATTTATACTCATGCTTTGTTTATTTATTTTATTTTAATAATTGTTTATTTCAAAATCTTAGTTCAACTTTCTAATTTTCATTCTATTTCATAGTCTTATTAAAATGAACTGTCTCTTGATCCATCAAAAAATCTTTTTTATAGGAAAAAAAGAACAAATAAACTGATTCTTCATGAATTTCAATATTTTTTAATTCCAATATAATAACTCCAATATTTTTATTCAACTAAACTTCAAAATGATATTTTTTTATGATTGGAAAAACATTGTAATTATGGTACATATAAGTAACATAAATATTATCCAGTTAGATTTTTTCATACTAAAGCACAAAGATCATTACAACAAAATCATCAAAAGAGAAATGGATAAATCAAATTGAAAAAGTATTAGTTTTTAAAGTGATATAAAAGATAAAAAATATAGATTCATAAATCTTTCTTGTCATGACTCCAGATCCACTAGGTCTATCTTGGAGGTAAGACCTGAAAAAGGTCTAGGTGTTATCAAAATATGAATTCAAGTCACGACTATTAAGTATAACGTCTATTTTTCAGTAGTTTTTTTTCTGAAGGGTCAGCCAATTGTTTGTATATTGTCGTTCCTTAGGGATAAAATAGTGAAGAGAATAAAAAATTGCATGAAAGAACAGCTCTTGGTATTCTATCAGCCATAAGTTGAGGTAGATTCGATGGAGATGGATGGTCAATCTCCAGGGACAATAATAACTGTTCCTCTTCCGCCGCCAATGGTTTACCCCATGAGGGGTTTTAGGTTGGAAGTTTGCTCGTGCATACACCAAATACACATCGAATTATACGATCACTTGGTATTGTTATACTGGTATTAAAGATGAGCCCACTCGACTTAGGCGCACATGGCACCAATGAATTGAGTATAACTTTCAACGCGTCGACAAGATGCACACACTTGTCCTTTGCTTCTGTTACAGAGATTGGGGGATCAGCCAAATGTTTAGATGTTGCAAACAATTTAAAAAATATCAGCATATAAAATGTGATAAATGGAGATCAATGCAAAGGGTCAGGGTTGTAATAGAATCATTTAGAATGTTTTACGGCTGTTGAGCTTCATAGTAATCCCTAAGGATTATCCCACGAATAATTATATACATGCATGCATTTTCAATAAAATTATGTATCAACATATAATCATTTCATCTATTTAACACTAAATCAGTTTTTTGGCATTTGAATAATTTGTAATTCATCATAAATAGATATTGCTGTTAGCATGCTATTATCATGATGCATTGAAAATTTTGAATCTGATGTTAGAGTTAGATAGAGTAATAATGTGTGTCCTTTCAATTTATAATAAAACAGTTGGTTAAAGTTAAATAAAAAAAAAACTCTCATCAATGTTATTAATAAGATTAAAAATTATATAGTAAATATAAAAATATTGAAATATTGGTCATATCAGATGTGTGATTCTTTTATTTTTGTTATTAATAGACTTTATTTTCTTACTCTAAAGCACCGCAAAAAAAGTTAGGATTAATGGAGCCAATGTTTGGTGTCAAAATGTTAATTGGAGATATTCATTGCAAATGATTTAAATTGATTTGAAGCAATGTATCTGAGGAACTTGTAACATTAATAATAGTTTATTAATGAAAAGTTATAAAATGAAAAATAAAAATATTAGAACAAATCTAGAAATTTATGAATGCAAAAAAATAGTTGGGTAAGATTGAAGACTTGTTATTGAATTATTTCGGAGTATTTAAAATTTCTTTTAGTTGTAATTTTATTTTATTAATCATCAAACTCTTTGGAAATGATAAAATTCCAAATGATTTAATGACATGACTTAGAATTGTTCCAATTAGCCCATAATGACATGAATTTTTACAATAAAGTGCTTTTTTTATTCCATTAAAAAATACCTATATGTATTGAAAAAAAGTGTTGATAAAAAATATAAAATTTATTCCAGGAAAATAAAAGATTATGTCTAATTAATTAGTGATCATCAGTTAAATTTAACTGTGTACTTAATGACCAATTGATTCTCAGCAAGAAAAAACAAACAATAAAAACTTACCGGTAAATTAATTTCCTCCTAACACTCCTCTTGAAGAACCCACTGCAGCCATTGCAAGCAAGAATTCCATAGTGCTTGCCTGAGCTTGTATCACCACAAACAATGCAGATAAGACCTAAACTGCGTCCCGGTTTGCTGCTGTGCTGAGGCTGTTGCTGTAATTGGTGAGGTGATTGTTGGAGCTGCTGAGGCTGTTGATGTTGTTGATGGTGGTGATGTTGATGATGCTGTTGTGGTTGCTGTTGTTGTTGTTGCACTTGTAATAGATGAGGATGGCCATTACTTAGACTAGATATATAAGGCGAACGTGCAAGTGGAAAATCCGTTGGTATGCCGCGACATAAAGGAGCTGAACATTCTTGAAGTGAACGAGACGTATATGGATCATGATTTGATGTTGGTCCCGCAGTACCTAGAGGACTGTAACGTTCTGGAAGCCCTGGTGATATTATACTTGATTCACCAGAATCTGAAAACATATCACTTATATTTTAAAAAAATTTTTAAATATATTTTATAATTTTTTCATCAAGTTTGAACATATTGATGTAAAATAAAATGATAAAACAAATAAACATATTACATTAATTGTTTTATTTTTGATAGATTTAATATTATTTAATGTTTAAAAAAAATTGAAATGTCTTTTGATAAGTAATAAGCAATAAGTTTGATAGTTTGAGATTAATTTTTGGAAATTGTACAGCACAAAGAGCTTTTCATAAAATCCAATCACTATTTATAAATAAAACAATATAAAAGAAAAAATTAAAATGACTTTTCAAGACATTTTATTAATTGTAAATAAAATAAGCAATTATTTTAATTCATTGTTCGTATTAATTTAACACTGTTTCAAGTGTCAATATTTCCAAAATATTTTCTTTAAAAACATCTTAAAAAAATATTTTTCAGAGTGAACATCGGTTCAAAATAATAACAAAATTATTCAACAATTTATAAGTAATCGAATAAGTCTTGTGATGAAAATAACATTAAATTCAATATAATATTACATAAGTAATAATATTGCAAAAATTGTACTCAATTATGGTACATTAATAAATGAACTATAAAAATCAAAATATGAGTAAAAAAAAATTTCACATCCACAATCAGTTGATTTCATGATATTTTCAATAGATCAGGACATTACTTAAAGATTGAATAATATTCTCAAGTACTTTGATCTTCATTCTTCAATATAATTTTTTTAATTTGTTTAATCTTCCAAATAAAGTTTACCAATCACTTCATTTACTCTTCTTATTAAAAAAAAGAAAAAAAATTCTTAAATTTAAAATGACAAAAACAAATATTTTAAATAACTTGGAAAATTATTTCCAGATGTAAAAGATACTATTAATTTTAAATGATACCATTAATCATTAAATTCAAAAAATTAAAACATGTCATTATATTTATATCGTGAATAAGTTAGAAATTCACTTTAAAATATCTTTTTAACTGTCATCATAAAGAAATGTAAATTTATCTAACTTCTAACATGACAATTATTTTGGTAATACCGAAACAGATCATAAAAGTGTGCCAGAATCGATTAAAAGTTTCCATTTTATAGGTATAATAAAAATACGTCAATGATTATCAAGTCAAGTAAATACTCTGAAATATAATAAATAAGTTGAAGTCTTTTATTTATTTATATAACAATTGCTACAATGTTCGTCAAATAAACGATCTTGAGCAGAAATAATGAAAAAATATAAACATTTGGTGATTATTATTTTTGGTATCATCTGCCAGACTTTACACAAATGTCGTGCTGATATACGAAAGAGCAGTGACCGAAGTTCAATAGCAATTCTGACGAATCAACAAAAAATACAACCACTAAAAAATTTTGACGCTGTCACTAAAAATACACCAATAAAATGCTGATATTTATAATCCTACAATAGCAGCGATACCTGACTAAATGATAGCAAAAGTATACATTTGATGTTCTTAATCTCTCTATCAAAATTAGAGTTGAAATTGGATCAAAATCTTTGGTCTTTGCTCATTGTTAATTCACGACTTAATTGAAATGAATAAATTAATTGAAAGACAAGTCAAATAAATTGAGTGTAATTATTGTTTCAATATTAATACATCACATTTCTCCAAGCACTTGATACTCCTTAAAGTCAATTCCACTTGAATGTGCTTTTCTTTGATAAATTTTCCATCTCTAAATATCATACTTTCATTCTTATGCTGTGTAAGAAGCTTAGAGAGAAAGAAAGCAATAAGATATTTCTTGATCCTACTGGCAAATGGCATTTACATCAGGAAATGAGTTTTAAAAAAGCATCAAGTATCCAAGACATTGCATATTTATGAATTTAGGGGAAATTACTGATGAATGTAAGTCCTGGATGTAAGCAAAAAAAAAATTAATTTTATTGAAATGATTATTTTTGATGGAGATCAAATACGTAATATGATAATCTACTTTGAATTAATACAACACAAATGATGAAAGGGGGAAGATATTGAGATAGTCGTGCTCAATAATAATACAAGTATCTAATGGGAGTTGGTGAAAATGTGATTTTGGACATTAGGGTTGTCCGTTTTAAATTGCTTTTGGAATCTGGTTGCCACTTAGTTTATTAGTCACGCTTTTCATCAGGGACTGATTTGATGGGATTGCATGTATTATGTTGGATGTTGATCAAGAAAGAATCAAGGCATATTATTCCTGTCAATGCACCTTACACCAAATGTGTTTATTTGTTTGTTACAAAAACATTGAATTCAAGTGGCAAATATCAACGACCAAAATTTAATTTTAAAAATAAACAAACGTCATGATAAAGCTGTTATATTTTTATCAAAGGTTAATGACTGTATTTTTAATATCAGCTTCTTTGGGTTCAACATTAATCATGTTGGTATATTAATCGAAAATTTATTGATCATTTAAAGTGATATTGTAAATAAAATAATGACTTTTGGTGAAATTTTTTAAATTAAAAGCTTTTAAATTCTTGATAAATTTATTTTTATGCGCACTCCAATAAAAGTGGCTGAAGATAATTTAAATTTTTTTGAAATTTTTAAATAAAATCTATGATAAATAAAATATTTGTTCTACTGATTGTATTATTATGAAGCGATGAGAATTTTTTGACAAACTCTTTCATTGTATTTATTATGTTCTGTTCATTACTTGACATAAATCAATTAAATTACCAGTGCTAGCTAGCCTATGCACCAAGAGAAAAAAATGTTCCTTTAAAAAAAAAAATTATTGGAACCAAGTATTGGGATATGAATTAAAATTTTTTTCTTCAATATAACATTTTTATTTATGTTATAGAGATGAAACTGTTATCAAGATCTGTTGGAATATTAAAGTGTATGTATGTGAAATGCACCAACATTATCCCTTGATTGAGAATACATCTAGTTTTGCAGGCTTGAATAAGCTCAACATGATTCACTGCTTGGAATGATGTCTAATTTAATGTCTTTCCAACTGCTCTTGATTCATTACATTATATTAATTGCTGTTAATAACATTATCAATAATTACTCATATTAATTATATACAAGATCATTTCCAGTTAAAATGATCCTTGAATTAATTCCAACAATGTTATAAGGTATGAAAAAATATTACAGCTAATTGTCTGATTCAATTACTAACACTACATGATTTATCAACACTTTTGATAACATAATGTTGTGCATGGATGGAATAATCTCACTTCTAATGATGTAATCAAAAATATTAACAACTGTATACTCCACCACACTTGTGAATTTATTTTTAAAATTTTTGAATCATGTCAAATTAAACTCATCAGTAATTCATTAATCTCATTATTCTTTAATAAAATAATAAGCAGAACAAAACAAATCCAATTTCATCAATAAAAAAAGTGAGAGAAAAAATCACAACAGGAGTGTATGTTGATACATTTATTTGTGAAAAATGAGTATGTATTTGGAAGCTGTAAACCGTTTAGTAATTTCTCATGAAAATTTACTCGCGCCACACCCCTTGGGGCTGGATCGTTGGTGAGGCCGCAATGATCCCATAATACCGGGCGCAGGTGGCGACCGATAGCCCGTGCCATCCACCAGCATTGATATGCTAATGAAATTTGACGCCCTCGCTAGAAGTAAGGGTGACGTAAAGAACTGCGTGCAGATCTGTCACCTTCAATGTCTCTTTTTTCATCATTTCATCTCTCTTTCTCACCATCACTTCTTTACACACTTTCCCTTCACTGATTCCCATTCTCTTGTGCCTTTTCCTCCTCGCTTAACCCTGCCAAAATCAAGTATTCCGTCGTTCCACCCGGCAAAACTGAGATTGAATTACTTTAATGGTATAATGTCGTTTTCTTTCGACTGAGAGTTTCAATAACGATCAACGAACTGTAGGCGTGCATGAAATTATTTATCTGTGTATGTGTCTTGTTTAAGCTGTTTGAGGGTTTTATTCTGATTTGACATCATTTACACTTTTATTTTATTAATAAAGTACCCTTAGAAAAGTTAGAGATTTCATTCAATTTATTATATAATTGTTTTGATTGTATCAAAATATTCCAAAAAATTTTCTGCACAATATGTGTATTTTCTTATCAGGTTGATCAATATTGATATTATTAATCTTCATGTGCAATATTATTTCAATTGATACCAAACTGTTTGCTTCCTTATTCAACTTGTTATTGTCATTGTTAATAACTAATTTTTAAAAAATAAAATATTCCAATTGATTATCAAAAAAAAAAAAAAACTCACCATGACGAACACTTAGAGGACTAGCAGGACTTCTAGGGTGATCAGAACTAGCATCATTTTGCGACGATTGTCTTTGAAGCTGTTGATCATCAGAGCTTGTGATTGATGTTGCAGTTCCATTCATGGTTCTTTCCACCAACGTTATAATAAATAAAAGTCACTTTTTATAATTCACTGATCAAAAAGTCTACAATTCTTCACTATTTCCAATTTTCATGTATATAATTGATTATTAATATCAATAGTCCAAAATGAATTTAGCAAAAAGTTTATTTTTGACTAAAGCTCTAGATGATTGCCACTAACAAATGAAGAGTCTCTAATATGATCACAGTAATTAAAAAAAAAGCGACGATTAAAAGCCGCAATTATAAGTCGATTTAAATTAAGAGCGCTGATCTGTTGACAAACGTCGACTGGTATCTAGCTGTAGCTTCTTGTCGTGGTGGTTCTTCGTGATCGTATGACGTCGAGGCTTTCCGACCTCGAGCCCGGTTGTTGCAGGTTCATATACGCCGATTGGTCCGCCTGTACTTTTGAAGGCGGGATCAGGAGGCAACGCGAGAAAAACAACAAAAAAGAATACGAGGATTTAACCTATAGTTGCTACGTTTGATGCGGCATCGCAGCGCTTGCGCGTATCATTAAACGAACCCCTTGACCACCCTTGTGGAGGAGAATATACTACCCCTCATCCTCCCTTACATACACTTTCTATATAAATATTCTCTGCGTCGTCTTATTCTCTCATGCTTACACCTTTCCTATACGTCATAGATCATCCTGATACATCGCTAATTGTTGACTGTTGGCTAGTCAATAATCTCCTGACTTTATAATATAACAGCTTAGTCTTTATAATAATATCCATTATCTAAACTAGAATAAATTTAATGATTAATTATATTGATTTGCTCGTCATTTTTACTACCAGTTATCTGGATGGTTACATTGATACTTACCAGTTCTATTTTCAAGCTCCAAAATAAAGGAAAATATATCTGAAGAATTATAATAAAAAATAATTAGAATCTTGGTTTGAAAAAAATTGAGAAGTACATGTTGATGTATTTGGAGTTTTTATTTAGTTGAAAAGTACATTTACCTGATGAAGATCAAAAATGAGAAGTTGGCATTTGTAGAAGGAAAAGTAATTGATTGCTGGAACTTTGTACTCTCAAGTTCTCATTGGGCGATAGGAAAGTACTTAATGAGTTTTACTGGCAGTGAACCCACGGAATATTGAGACACCAGTACCACAAAGAGGTGGAAGATAACTCGTATCCGCCATGCTGGATTTCCCGGAGTCGCAAAAGGAGTTCAAGTTATTCTCTCATGAAGCGTCAGGGGTGAGATGGTCTTTTCCTCTCTCTATCTAATTCCGTACTACCTCCCACTTTGAAAGCCACCAGACCACGCCCCAATGTTCACACATAAGCCAATAGCATCGCGACATCGTAACACTGACATCCACCAATAGGATTACCCTCTGACACGGTGTTTCGCTTGTCACCGATTGCACAAGTGAAACAACTTACTGTTCTCAATCCGTAATGCCTTATATTCAATTCCGTATGCGACACTATCCGCATATCATTTAAGATATCAACTTCCAGCATCCCCTTTCTTACCAAGACATTTACATTCGCTCTGAAGACTAAAGGATAAAAAGATTATAACCATGTCTGTAACACTCAATCATTAAATCCTTCTACAAATCTGTCATCTCTCTCCTTTTTTTTTTATTTCATTCAGTCACTACTTTTTAATTAATAGGAATTGGATTGTTTTGATAGCTTCTTGATAGGGTTACTGTTCCAGTTAGTTATACATTAAAAGTTCTGTAATATTTGTGATATAAATAAAAATTAAAAACAATTTTTGAAATATGTTGTCACTCATTTCTGACATTGTTTATTTATTTAGCCAACGAAAAATGATTGAAAACTTCAAAATTTATCATATAAATGCCTCAGTAGATCAATATACCTATTATTAACACTTAAATGTAGCATTATTTTCAATGATAATATACAAAATATATGAAAATCAATAATTAAAGTATTGGCCTTACATTAATTTACTAAAGAAAAAGTAAAGAACTTTTTTTCAAAATTTATAACACTCTATAAAAGTTGATACTTTTTATTCAAAAATTCGATTGCATTTTTTTAACTTTATTTAGATAAGTAAATTATATCTACTTAAATAAGCCATTATATAATGGAATTGAAAGATTAAATTAATAATTTTGTTGTAAAAGGTTAATAATACCTAAATGCTATGATAGTAATTTTCTTCATTTGATCGGTTTCAAATTAATATTTCGTAACATACACAAATCTCTTGCAGTTACTTTTCTTCCTGGCGTAGTCTGAATATCGTACAACCTGAGTACCAAATCGGTTGTGAATAATTCAGGTAGTGCTTTCAATAAACAAGGTACCTATAAAATAGAAAAAACAACCGTTGATTAGCATCAATGAGCAAAATAAAAGTTTTATTAACTCTCAAAAGACAATCTTATTGTAACCAACGTTAAGGGTAACCAGAATTTATATTTACTCCAATATAGAACATTAATTAAATACGTAGGAAATTATTTTAAAAATATTTCTATTGTCTTATTGATTTTGATTTTTTGGTGTTCATTGCAGCTAAAAACATAACATTTCTAAAAACAAGTTATTTTTTATAATTACAATAATAAAAAGGTTATTCTTCTAGAGTTAATGAAGTAAAATAAATGATTTATTTACCAAAGTTTGTGGGAGTCCTTGAAGAACAACACGCGTTCTATCTTTTCCACACTGAACCATGAGTTTTAAGAACTGAAGAATAAAATGAGTCTGCTGAGACACTTGGCCGTCGCGAGCAGCGAGGTAGTTAAATGTTTTAAAAAGTCCATTAAGTGCAGTCAGAAGTGGATCTCTTAAAACAACAGATTTGTGACCATTGGCACTTCCTTGTGCTTGAGGAGATGAATTAGATCCGAAAATAGGATTTGTATCTCCAGTTTCATTAAGTCTTAAAAGCTTATTTGCAGGACCACAAAGCGCCTCCATCTCTTCAGACTCAAAGTCTCTTCTCGTTCGTTTTCTACTATTCCCTCTCGGAGGATTTGAATTATTATACTCCAATGTTGAAAGAATACAATAAACACAAAGCTTTGCCAATTGAGACGATTGCGGTTCTACCAGCTGATCGTTTTGAAGAGAATTATAGAGATATTCCGGCAGAACGTGATTAATAAGATCTAATGTACAATTTTCAATGTCTAAGTGAAAAATAGCAAACACAAGATCAATAGCTTGATCCAGTTGTTCTTGATAACGATATTTTAATGCTTCCCTTACAAGATTCGAAACAAACCACAACGATCCACCAGTATTAAGAAGTGATTCTAGAGTATGAGTTGCTTGAATATTTACCCAACTTCTCTGCTGAATGTCTTGCCAAATTGATTTCAATTGTTCTAATATTGGTTGTCGTGAGATTATATTATGAGACATAGACAATGCTTTGGTTTTGGACTGAGTTGGTGGATGAATATCATACTGCATTTTTCGAATAATCTGGAACATAAGACTACAAGTGTCATGCTTGAAGTTATCTTGCATCTCGTCGGTTGGCAATGGCGTTATAAACTGCTGAACCATATTCATAGGCTTTAGTAAGGCATCTTGATGTGTAATACTCATATGTGCACATAACCATGCTGCAGCACAAACTGGAAGACAACACGCGGCTGATCGAAGATTATCCAAGGCACGTTTAACATCACCAGCTCCAAGAGCACCTGATTCCCAAGCAAATAAAAGCTCTTTGACTGCTCCCATTGCACTTTGACACGTGATATGCCATTTTACATTACCAGATTTTAAATCTAACTCAGAAGATTTTATTTGAGCAAGTAAACTATCAAGTTTAGCTTGATCAATATTTTGTACCATCTTTTGTGGAGATTTTGGCTTATCTTTTTCAGGCATGCACTCACGTACCCATTGCTCAAAAAATGAATCTCCATTTTCTTCTAGAACTATGTCTGATCCATATGTTTGCACAATAAAACAAAGAATTAAAAATGAAATATCAAATAACATTGCTCGAGTTGCTGCTGTTTTTCCAGGAACCGGTTCATTAATTTGTTTGCTGCATTCATTAAACTTAATCAATTTGGTGACAAAATTCTTCAATTGTCCTTCAACGGTTGCTACAGCAAGCATGAGATCTAAACTTTTACCATTTAAAACTTGACAAAGCATACTCAATAAAGCTTCTTGAATTTTCGTGTAATCCGCATTGAGTGTTTTAAGAATTCCAGCAAGTGTTGGTTCTGCTCTAACAATTACTTTCATTATAGATGATGTAGGAGAGCTCGAAGATTCTAATTGTTGTAAAGCTGCTGCAACTCCTTCTCTTCTACTACTTATTTGTTTTACATGTCGCTCACTGACAAGATTAACTTTATGCAGTTCATTGAGTAAACATTCAACACTATTACAAGAACAAGTAGCATCCATGATATCTAGAAGTGGAGTGAATTGTAGGAGTAATTCGAATGCATCAACAATATCTTGTGAATATTCAAATCTATCTTCTTGACCTGATGCATTCAATGAAGCTACATGAAGCTCTTTAAGAATAAAAGGTATTTTCAGAAATGTTACTGCACCCCATTGAGATTCTTTGAATGTTCCAGTAACGTTATGTAAACACATCAAACAAGCTCTGATAATTTCACAATAAAGTCTAGCATTTGTATATCCTTTTAACCGTTTAATCATTAGAAGTTGATTTACGAACACAGTCGTTTCAGTGCTGGGGTTTAAAAGAACTTGAACAGCAAATAAAGGTTGTAAACAATACGTTATTGACTCCATTGGAATATTTGATAAATTAGGAGAAACTGTTTCAATGTCCAGGTTAGATAATTTCTTCAATGACTCATCAATCAATGCTGGTGATCTAATATTATTTGTTTTATGAGTTAATTCAATTTCTTGGCACTTTTTCACCACTTCAAGGTATAAATCTTTATCATCATACTTGGCAAGATACATCATTGCACAAAGAAAATCCGAACTTAACATTTGTTTCAATATACTAGCAGGCTTTTCGATAAGATCTAATGGCTGGCTGATCAAAGTATTATTTTGAGGCATTTTGGTGAGATTATAAAGATAACATTGAAGTAACCAATCAACTATGGATAGAACTGCATTTGCTAGAAGGTCTTCTTCAGGTTTTCCACGACAAGTGATGCCTACAATAATTGAATCTAGAAACTCGAGGAGACAGATAATGCAATGAGGCTTATGAAAAGCATCATACTTGCTTATTCGTTGTAGAACAGCTGCATATGAGACTAACTGAGAACTAAGTGAATGTTTCAAATACGATAGCACAAGTTGATTAGGTCCAGGACCAACAAGTGCTTGTTGGAGAATACAATCTGCTAAGTTATAAACATCTCCACTTACGCCTCTTGGTAGGATAGTTTTTATGTTGATTCCCCATTGCAAATCACTCCAACGTTCTCGCCATGCACGAAGTATTAAAGCTTTCAAACTACTCGTTTTACTCGTGACTTTGGTCTCCATCGTTGAAGTTAATAATAGTGTACACATGTTTTTATTTATTCCAATTCCTAGGGAAAAAAACAAAATTACAATTGAATCAATTTTGTTCTAGTGTCTAACCTCTCTGCATAATACTTTCTTTGAATTAATAGTATTTTCATCAGTTTAATGATTTTTATACATACCTCATGACTTTAATATTATCAGAAGCAACTAATATTTATAAAGAATGAATATTTGTTATTAATTTTTAAAGTTTATAGCAATAATTTCGTGTGCTTATATTATTTATCAACAAAAGTTGCCACGGTAGGTCATACAACTATTATAGTTCACTTTGACGCCGTTAGAGTTCCTTTTTTTCCTGAAAACATGTAGGGTAAGTTAACTAGTATCGATAATGTAGACAAAATATATGCCTGTACAGAGAAAAGTTTTTTCTTGTCATTAGAAAGATGGTAGTAGTAGTATAATCCAGAATTTCAGTTTAAATTTATTTTTTCAATGGATTTACTTTTGTTACAAAATTGTTTGATACGAATTCTAGTCCTCAGAGCATGTTGCTTGGTCATAACACTCCTCTCTATGATGAGAAATAACATTCCAAAGTTGACACAATAATTTTCTCAAGTTCTTTCATGTCAATGTATCTTTTTTTAATGCGTTCTATATTTTGAAAATTTCTGTAACAAAATAAATAGTATTTGATAAGTAAAATATACATGATGTAAGATATTCTCATATTTGTATTTAAAATGAAACTTGGAAAGAATGAAACATATACATTCAAGTGTTACAAGTGCATATGACAGATTATTATATTTTTTACTATTCTCACGTGGTAAGTTTTTATAAAAATAAAAATGCTTTATGCTTTCACATGGTAAATTGATTTTAAGAAAGTAATAAGAACAAATTTGAATGGAATTATCTTTTCTTTTATTACTAACTAAATATCGGATTAATCAGAATACTTCTTGTAAATAAGATATTTTTAATAGTATAATTTATCCAGTCGCAAAACTCAATGTATTAATTTTTGGAATTTACATCTATCTAAGAAAATGTAAATTACAAAATCAACGACGTCATTTTAATGATTTTTTTATATAGCTGTAAAAAATTGGCAAATTTTTGACAATTTTCAAAATGTAAAATTTAAAATCATCTTAGTAAATTTGAATATAACATAAATTCTAGTATATAAGAAGATACATCGATATTAATTTACAAATGAAACTAATTTTGGAGTAGATTAGAAGTGCTACATGCATAAATGTTTACTATTATTATAGTAATTTATAAGAAATGAAGTATTGGACATTAAATTGAAGCAAATGATGTCTAAATATGAAATGATTGATGCCTCGATAAATTTGAAATTATCTATTTATTTATTAGTAATATTTATAATCTAATGAAAAGGGAAAAAAGTATAATAACAACCAAAAAAAAAATTTATTTTTTTTTTTTATAAGATCTCATAATTGTGTGTAGGTAATAATTCACCATACACACTTTTCTAATCATCGATCACTTTTATATAAAAAAAAAAAAATAAAAATCTACTCTACTTTACTTATTTATGCAAAAACTAACAACTTGAAAAAAATCTACTACTGAAAAAAAATTATCTACGACGTTTCGCGGGTGGCATGCAATCTTCCCAATCCTCATTAAATTGATTTTTATCAATGTAATGTATTAAATGTTGAGAAGTAATGGGCCTAATTATACTATTTAAAACGGATCGGACAGTAATGAAAGAATTAGGGAAAAATTTATCTGTTCTTTCCCGCATAAATAACCAAGTTCCATTATTATATGTGCATTCTATTATTTTATTATCAAACTGTTGAATTTGTTTAGTAATTTTAATAAAACCAAATGGTTCTTCTAAACCCTCAACATATAAATGACCTATTTTCTTAGGTGATGTTCCCATACCTGATTCGACGAAGATTCTTAGCATGAAGTCCACTGAATTCGATGATAGCGGCTTCCACTTCAAGACAATTGCTGCAGGTCCAGGGATGTAGGGCTCCTTCGAAGGCTGGAAGATCAGACCGTCTGGTTCATGACCCAATTGTTTAACGAATTTTTCACTCAATAACTTGTTGACTTGTGTGATGTCCCAAAATTGCTTCTGACGAATAGAAAAGGGTTCTTGATCTCGGTGTATTCGGCTTTCCTTTAATGCTCTAATTCGGCTTCCTATTACTTCTTTCTCGATGATGTTATATCTCTCAATGAAAAATAAGTCTGTAGATACATCTCTGCCATCACACATAATAATATCATGAACTAGGTACCTAGGATAATTTTTACCATCCACTTTATCAATAACCATTTCTCCATCTAATAAAGTATCATTCAGAGTTCTAGAAAAGTCTTTATAATGTGGAAAAGTTAAACCAGACACTTCATAGACACTATTATTCCTATTAATAAAGAATATTTCCTTGTTAGCTCGAATGAACATCATAAATCTAGTACCATTAGCATTCCATGACACTTTGTATGGTCTGATTTTGAATTGGATAAGGTTATTGTGGTCCATAGAAACAGGTTGAGAACCAGGAAAACCATTTCCCTCCCATTTGCATAATTCTTGAACTTTTTTTTGAATTTTCACAACTTTCGCTAAATCTTGTACTGGTTTTACTCCAGGAACTCCAGCCATAAAAATAGGATTTTTTATCTTTTCGGAACTTTGGTATGACATTGTTCTATTACTTCACCTTAACTGTAAAAATTAACTAATTTTAATCACAAACACCCACTTATTCTTGAATGATCGTTTTCACGATTAATTTATGCAGTTAAAGCATAAAAACACAATAGCACTTGTATTTTCACGAAAGAAATGAGCGAAAAATAACACGATGTGCACAAGTCGAGAGTCAAATCTCATATGATTGAAAACATTTCTGGCTGGCTAGATACCTAGCTCTCATGCGCCTCCTGGTGGTGAAATCTAATGAAATGACACCATACGCCACCTAGTAGCGTGTTGGACGCCTCTAGGGGCATTTCTAATTATGAATATAAAATAGAGATTAAATAGATAAATTATAGAAAGATATTAAATTATTATTCATATATATATATTAATACATATTATTAAATGAATAGATTCTTACACAAAGCGATTAGAATGTTTTCAATAATTTCTTATGAATTCCGATAGATAACGATACGAAATCTGTCTATAGATGCTCATAAATTTATAAGAATCAATCAGAAAGTTGCATCAGAAATATTACTTGTTTTATAAGAATTTATAAGAAAACGTTCTATAGATACTTATAAAAAGTGCGATATTTCTGATGCAGCTTTCCGATTCATTCTTATAAAGTTTTTTTTTATAGGATTCTATCGGAATGTTTAACGAGGGACTCCATTTCCAATTGTAGAATATCAGTTACATTACAAACAAAAAGTTTGTCAGGAGTCAGCACTTCAAATAATTTTGAAACCATTCTAAGTTTTCGTAATATTCTAAATTAAAACTTTAGGCATTTTATCAAAATCATCGTCAAAAGTCTTTACAGTTCCAAAAGCTGATCAGTTGTAATTCGTTAGCATATTAAAAAAGACTTGGATCGATTTTATCTAAAATATTAATTCTAGCGCCATACTTTATAAAACTCTTACTTGTATCAGCAAATTATCTTTCTAAAGCAGTACGAAGAGCAGTGTCTCTATTTTTATTTAAAAAATTAAAATTGACTCCAATATTAGATCATTTTCATCTTTGCACAGAATCTTGATAAAGTTTTTGTCATTATTGGATCATAATTGAAACTTGCAATGTGGAAACATGTCAAGTTCTTTTATTTGGACTCTGTTATTAAAAATTGCGTTGAAAAGTATCTGCCATGTTATATTGAAGCAATCGTCAAAATTCTCAATTTTGCTTTCAAATCAAGAGATACGTCAGTGTCTCGTGCGCCAAGCATAAATCGCCGCCATTTAGCCCTTACATCACTACGAGGCACTACCGTGTCTCTATACAAATTATAAGATGATTTTTGCAGGTTATAATTTTTAAATTTAAAATTTTTTCCTTATTATAACATAAACATGGGCTGAAATTAAGAATTTACTTGGAAAGCGATCGTTGACTTTCGATTAAGTATACTATGGAGTATTATCATTGCTTCATTTATAATATACGAAATTGAGTAAAATAAGAGTTTATTCATGGAGAAATCATACGTTTTTTTTATCAAGTTGGTGATCAGAGTTTTCAATTGCTATAAAGTTCTCTCACTAACAGATTATAAAGTTAGTAACAAGTTAATTTTGCTCGAGCGCGAATATACAAATAATTAAAATATTTTCTGAACAGATTTTTTTCTTTTTATATTCCTCTTCAGTTGATATGTACAAAAAATGGTGAAATCTCTTCAAAAACAGCCTCCTCCTTCTGGGCTGTACAAAAATGTGCGCCAAACATAAATAACGACAATGATGAAATTACAAAAAGTCCTAAAATAATTAAACGCCAATTATCTAAATCTACAAATCAATTTCAATTTTCAATATTGAAAATATTTCAGCCAATTAATAAATAACAGTCACGCCAAGTTTTTGGTTGTTATGTTTATTGTGTCATTAAATGTACTAAATTTAAAAAAAAAAAAAACCGAAGAAAATAATTCATTTTAAATATTGTTGATTTGTAGATTTAAATAATTAGCGTTAAATTATTTTAGGACTTTTTGTAATTTCATCATTGTCGTTATTTATGTTTGGCGCACATTTTTGTACAGCCCAGAAGGAGGGGGCTGTTTTTGATGAGATACTTTTTTACTGTGTAGGAGAATATCAAAAGAATGAGGTTATAGAAACTCATTGTCCTGAACAAAGAATGAATTTTATTTAAAATATCTATTGCGAACTTTTGCAATTATATTAATTACCATAATCTATTGTTGTAGATTAGATCTCATGATCCACTCCTACTGGTTTTTATTGTATTTCAATTATTCTGTTCTGGAAGATTATCGATATTTATATTTTAGGTTATACGCTACAATATAAGAAGGCTGGTTCCAAATCGTACGTATAGTTGTCCCTAAGGATGGGCGATATTTGTCGATGTATCGAAATATCGATAAATTTTTTCTAATATCGAGTCTTTTTATTCGATATTTTTCATAGACGATACATCGATGGTCGATATTTTTTCTCGTAATATCGACCATGTAGAGACCTCTCGTGGTATTTTAAATAACTAACCAAAAGCCATTAGTAGTCACATGTTCAATGTCAGGTCTCACGCGTTTATTAATTATTTATTAATTAATTTA